TTGGATATTGAAGGCTACAGATCACGGATTCGGCCTGAGGCTATTCTTCAACGATGATTAAGTCCATTAAGTACCAATTTTGGCGGATTTATTTTGGGTCAATTTTTTGCAGATTCCAAAGTGGTACCATCACATATTTCGGGCGATTTTTCCAAAATGCAATTTTCTTTCTATTATGAAGGCTAAGGATCAAAGAATCAGGCTGAGGTTATTCTCCACCGATAATGAAGTTTATTGATCCTATTATCCACGGATGATAAGCCCATTAAGCACTGATTTGTGCAAATTATTTTCAGTGACATTTCGTTATTTTTTGGGCGAGGAAAGACCATTTCTTTGTATATTGAAGGCTACAGATCACTTATTCGGCCTGAGACTATTCTTCAACGATGATTAAGTCCATTAAGCACCGATTTGTGCAGATTTATTCCGAGTAAAATTTTGGCGGATTCCCAAGGGGTACCATCACAGATTTCGGGCGATTTTTCCGAAATGGCATTTTCTTTCGATTCTGGAGGCTAAAGATCACAGAATCAGGCCGAGACTATTCTCCACCGATAGTGAAGTCTATTGATCCTATTCTCCAGGGATGATAAGCCCATTAAGCACCGAATTGGGCCAATTTATTTTCTGATGACATTTTCGTTATTTTTTGGGCGACGAAAGGTCATTTTCTTTGGATATTGAAGGCTACAGATCATGAATTCGGCATGAGACTATTCTTCAACGATGATTAAGTCCATTAAGCACCGATTTCGGCGGATTTATTCCGATTAAGTTTTTTGCGGCTTCCAAAGGGGTACCATCACAGATTCGGACGATTTTTCCGAAATGCTATTTTCTTTCAATTCTGGAGGCTAAAGATCACGGAATTAGGCCAAGGCTATCCTCCTCCGATAATGAAGTCTATTGTTACTATTATCCATGGATGATAAGCGCATTAAGAATAGATTTGGGCCAATTTACTTTCGGATGGCATTTCGTTATTTTTTGGGCGACGAAAGGCCTTTTCTTTGGATATTGAATACTACAGACCACAAATTCGGCTTGATGCTATTCTTCAACGATGATTAAGTCCATTAAGCACCAATTTGGGCGAATTTATTCTAGGTCAATTTTTGGCATAATCCAAAGGGGTACCATCACAGATTTCGAACGATTTTTCCGAAATGGCATTTTCTTTCGATTCTGGAGGCTAAAGATCACAGAATCAGGCCGAGACTATTCTCCACCAATAGTGAAGTCTATTGATCCTATTCTCCACGGATGATAAGCCCATTAAGCAGAGATTTGAGCCAAATTATTTTTGGATGGCATTTCGTTATTTTTTGGGCGACGAAAGGCCATTTTCTTTGTATATTGAAGGCTACAGATCACGGATTTGGTCTGAGGCTATACTTCAACGATGATTGCATCCATTAAGCACCGATTTGGACGGATTTATTCATAATCGATTTTTGTAGGATTCAAAAGGGGTACCATCACAGATTTCGAGCAATTTTTCCAAAATGCCATTTTCTTTCGATTCTGGATGCTATAGATCAAGGAATCGGGCCGAGGCTATTCTCCACTGGTAATGAAGTCTATTGATCCTATTCTCCACGGATGATAAGCCCATTAATCATCGATTTGGACCAATTTATTTTCGGGTCGCATTTTCGTAATTTTTTGGGCGAGGAAAGGCCATTTTCTTTGTATATTGAAGGCTACAGATCACGGATTCCGCCAGAGGCTATTCTTCAAAGATGATTAAGTCCATTAAGCACCGATTTGGGCGGATTTATTCTGGGTCAATTTTTCGCAGATTCCAAAATGGTACCATCACAAATTTTGGGCGATTTTTCCGAAATGCCATTTTCTTTCAATTCTGGAGCCTAAAGATCACATAATCAGGCCAAGGCTATTCTCCACCGATAATGAAGGTTATTGATCCTATTCTCTACGGATGATAAGCCCATTAAGCACCGATTTTGGCCAATATATTTTCGAAATGCCATTTTCTTTCGATTCTGGAGGCTCCAGATCACGGTATCAGGACGAGGCTATTCTCCACCTATAATGAAGTCTATTGATCCTATTCACCATGGATGATAAGCCCATTAAGCACCAATTTGGGCCAATTTATTTTTGGATGAGATTTTGGTTATTTTTTGGTCGACGAAAGACCATTTTCTTTGGATATTGAAGGCTACAAATCCCGGATTTGGCTTGAGGCTATTTTTCAACGATGATTAAGTCCATTAAAAACAAATTTGGGCAGATTTATTCTGGGTCAATTTTTGGCAGATTGCAAAGTGGTACCATCACAAATTTTGGGCGATTTTTCCGATATGCCATTTTCTTTCGATTCTGGAGGCTAAAAATCACAGAATCATGCCGAGGCTATTCTCCACCGATAATGAAGTCTATTGATCCAATTCTCCACGCATGATAAGCCCAATAAGCATTGATTTGGGCAAAATTATTTTCGGATGACATTTCGTTATTTTTTGGGCGACGAAAGGCCATTGTCTTTGGATATTGAAGGTTACAAATCACGAATTTCGCTTGAGGCTATTCTTCAATGATGATTAATTTCATTAAGCACCAAATTGGGTGGATTTATTCTGTGTAAATTTTTGGCGGATACTAAAGGGGTACCATCACATATTTCGGGCGATTTTTCCGAAATGTTATTTTCTTTCAATTCTGGAGGTTAAAGATCACAAAATCAGGCAAAGTCTATTCTCCACCGATAATGAAGTCAATTGATCCTATTCTCCACGGATGATAAGTGCATTAAGCACCGATTTGGGCCAATTTATTTACAGATGACATTTTCGTCATATTTTGGGCGACGAAAGGTCATTTTCATTGGATTTTGAAGACTACAGATCACGGATTTGGCCTGAGGCAATTCTTCAATGATGATTAAGTCCATTAAGCACCTATTTGGGAGGATTTATTCCGGTTCAATTTTTGGCAGATTCCAAAGGGGTATCATCACAGATTTCGGGCGATTTTCCCAAATGCCATTTTCTTTCGATTCTGGAGTCTACAGATCACGGAATCAGGCAGAGGCTATTCTCCACCGATAATGAAGTCTATTGATCCTATTCTCCACGGATGATAAGTGCATTAACGCCGATTTGGGCCAATTTATTTTCGATGGCATTTTCGTAATTTTTGGGCGACGAAAGACCATTTTCTTTGGATTTTGAAGGCTATAGATCACGGATTCGGCCTGAGGATATTCTTCAACGATGATTAAGTGCATTTAGCACCGATTTGGGCGGATTTATTCCGGGTCAATTTGCTGGCAGATTCTAAAGGGGTACCATCACAGATTTCGGGCAATTTTTTCGAAATGCCATTTTCTTTCGATTCTGTAGGCTACTGATCACGGAATCAGGTAGAGGATATTATCCACCGATAATGAAGTCTAATGATCCTATTCTCCACGAATGGTAAGTGCATTAAACACCGATTTAAGCTAATTTATTTTCGGATGGCATTTTCGTAATTTTTTTGGCGACGAAAGGCCATTTTCTTTGGTTTTGGAAGGCTACAGATCACGGATTCAGCTGATACTATTCTTTAATGATGATTAAGTCCATTAAGCACCGATTTGGGAGGATTTATTCCGGGTCAATTTTCGGCATATTCCAAAGGGGTACCATCACACATTTCGGGAGATTTTTCCGAAATGCTATTTTCTTTCGATTCCGGAGGCTACAGATCACGAAATCGGGCCGAGGCTATTCTCCACCGATAATGAAGTCTGTTGATCCTATTCTCCACGGATGATATGCCTATTAAGCAGAGATTTGGGCAAAATTATTTTCGATGGCATTTTCGTAAATTTTGGGCGACGAAAGACTATTTTCTTTTGATTTTGAAGGCTACAGATCACGGATTCGGTCTGAGGCTATTCTTTAACGATGATTAAGTGCATTTAGCACCGATTTGGGCGGATTTATTCCGGGTCAATTTTTTGGCAGATTCTTAAGGGGTACCATCACAGATTTCGGACAATTTTTTCGAAATGCCATTTTCTTTCGATTCTGGAGGCTACAGATCACGGAATCAGGCCGAGGCTATTCTCCACCTATAATGAAGTCTATTGATCCTATTCTCCACAGATGATAAGTGCATGAAGCACCGATTTGGGCCAATTTATTTTCGGATGGCAATTTCGTAATTTTTTGGGCGACGAAAGGTCATTTCTTTGGATTTTGAAGACTACAGATCACGGATTTGGTCTGAGGCCATTCTTCAATGATGATTAGGTCCATTAAGCACCGATTTGGGAGGATTTATTCCAGGTCAATTTTTGGCAAATTCTAAAGGGGTACTATCACAAATTTCTACCAATTTTTCCGAAATGCGATTTTCTTTCGATTCTGGAAGCTACGGATCACGGAATCAGGCCGACACTATTCTCTACAGATAATGAAGTCTATTGATCCTATTTTCCACAGATGATAAGTGCATTAAGCACCGATTTTGGCCAATTTATTTTCGGATTGCAATTCCGTACTTTTTGGGCGACGAAAGACCATTTTCTTTGGATTTTGAAGGCTACAGATCACAGATTCGGCCTGAGGCTATTCATCAACGATGATTAAGTCGATTAAACACCGATTTGGGCAGATTTATTCCCGGTCTATTTTTGGCAGATTCCAAAGGCCATCACAGATTTCGAGCAATTTTTCCGAAATGTGATTTCTTTCGATTCTGGAGGCTACAGATCACAGAATCAAACCGAGGCTATTCTCCACCGATAATGAAGTTTATTGATCCTATTATCCACGGATGATAAGTGCATTAAGCACAGATTTGGGACAATTTATTTACGGATGGCATTTTCGTAATTTTGTGGGCTACGATATGCCATTTTCCGAAATGCCAGTTTCTTTCGATTCTGGAGGCTACAGATCATGGAATCTGGCCAAGGCTATTATCCACCGATAATGAAGTCTATTGATCCTATTTTCCACGAAAGATAAGTGCATTAAGCACCGATTTAAGGCAATTTATTTTCGGATGGTATTTTAGTAATTTTTTGGGCGACGAAAGGCTATTTTCTTTGGATTTTGAAGGCTACCGATCACGGATTGGATCTGAGGCTATTATTCAACGATGATTAGGTCCATTAAGCACCAATTTGGGAGGATTTATTCCGGGTTAATTTTTGGCAGATTCCAAAGAGGTACCATCACAAATTTCGAGCGATTTTTCTGAAATGCTATTTTCTTTCGATTCTGGAGGCTACAGATCACGGAATCAGGCCGAGGCTATTCTCCACCGATAATGAAGTCTATTGATCCTATTCTCCACGGATGAAAAGTGCATTAACACCGATTTGGGCCAATTTATTTTTGATGGCATTTTCGTAATTTTTTGGCGGCGAAAGACCATTTTCTTTTGATTTTGAAGGCTACAGATCACGGATTCGGTCTGAGGATATTCTTCAACGATGATTAAGTGCATTTAGCATCGATTTGGGCGGATTTATTCCGGGTCAATTTTTTGGCAGATTCTAAAGGGGTACCATCACAGATTTCGGTCAATTTTTTCGAAATGCCATTTTCTTTCGATTCTGGAGGCTCCAGATCACGGTATCAGGACGAGGCTATTCTCCAACTATAATGAAGTCTATTGATCCTATTCTCCACGGATGATAAGTGCATTAAGCACCGATTTGGGCCAAATTATTTTCGATGGAATTTTCGTAATTTTTTGGGCGACGAAAGGCTATTTTCTTTGGATTTTGAAGGCTATAGATCACGAATTCGGCCTGAGGCTATTCGACAAGATGATTAAGTCCATTAATCATCGTTTTGGGCGGTTTTATTCCACGTCTATTTTTGGCAGATTCCAAAGGGGTACCATCACAGATTTTAGGCGATTTTTCCGAAATGCCATTTTCTTTCGATTCTGGAAGCTACAGATCACGGAATTAGCCCGAGGCTATTCTCCACCTATAATGAAGTCTATTGATTCTATTCTCCACGTATGATAAGTGAATTAAGCACCGATTTGGGCCAAATTTTTTCGGATGACATTTTCGTAATTTTTTGGGCGACGAAAGACCATTTTCTTTGGATTTTAAAGGCTACAGATCACGGATTCGCCCTGAGGCTATTCTTCAACGATGATTAAGTGCATTTAGCACGGATTTGGGCGGATTTATTCCGTGTCAATTTTTTGGCAGATTCTAAATGGGTATCATCACAGATTTCGGTCAATTTTTTTGAAATGCCATTTTCTTTCTATTCTGGAGGCTACTGATCACAGAATCAGGACGAGGCTATTCTCCATCTATAATGAAGTCTATTTATCCTATTCTCCACTTGTTATAAGTGCATTAAGCACCAATTTAGGCCAATTTATTTTCGGATGGCATTTTCGTAATTTTTTGGCGACGAAAGGACATTTTCTTTGGATTTTGAAGGCTACAAATCACGGATTCGGCATGAGGCTATTCTTCAACGATGATTAGGTCCATTAAGCACCGATTTGGGAGGATTTATTCCGGGTCAATTTTCGGCAGATTCCAAAGGGGTATGTCACGACCTTACTCTTGATCGTGCGGCCCTAGCTCTCAATTCCGTTAGAGCGCTAGGCAGCCTTTCTCTCAACTCACTTGAAAGCAAAGAACAAGAACAAAGACAAAGGAAGTGGGAGAACTCTCTAGTGTGTATTACTCTCAAAAATGATGGAATGAGTTACAAGTGAGGGAGATGGCTCCTTATATAGGCCTCTCCACATACAAGGCATCAATGCCCCCTCATAATGGTCCCTCTACATCAATACACCCCATAAAGTCCCCCCATAATGCACTCTAATAATGCTACCCATAATGTAGCCCATAAGTGCACCATTAAGCTCTCATTTAGGTGGAGAATCCTAGGAGCATCTCTATGCTACTAGTCTTCCATGCATGCCACATGTGCTGCTGCCATGTTGTCACCTTGTTGGCGCCATGTCATCTGCCACACGTGACATCCTCCCCCACCTATGCTCGCGACGCCCTCGTCGCGTCCTCTTGATGGAATGCCTCGATCAAGTCCTTGTTCTTCCAAAGCGTGAGCTCTTTCTCCCATGTTGCTTCACTCTCCGGAAGGTTGCGCCACTTGACTAAGTACTCCACAAAGCTTGGATGTACGCCGCGACGAGGAATGACACGACGCGCCATGATTTCTTCGACTTCATGGTCGTGTGTCTTGGTGACGAGTGTTGGTGCGCGCTGCGGCTCCCTTCGCTGCTCGTCCTCCTTGTCTTCGTGGTAAGGTTTGAGTTGGCTCACATGAAAGACCGGATGGATCTCCAAGTGCGTCGGCAGCTCTACCTTGTATACCACATTGCCAATCCTCTTCACGATGGGGAATGGCCCTTCATAGCGGCGAAGCAGTCCCTTGTGCACGCTCTTGAGATGCTTGAAGCGATGAGGATAGAACTTGACCATCACCATGTCTCCCTCTTCGAACTCCAAGTGCCGCCGCTTCTTGTCCGCCCATTTCTTCATCTTCTTACTAGCGCGGGCTAAGTAAGACTTGGCCATCTCCATCTTCTCGTGCCAACCTTTAGCGAACTTGTAGGCCGCCGGACTGTTGCCTCTATACCCCGTTGCCACCGTCGTAGGTGTCAAAGGTTGCTGCCCCGTCGCCAACTCGAATGGACTTGTGTTGGTCGACTCGCTGCGGTGTAAGTTGTAGGAGAACTGTGCCGTGTCCATCAACTTCACCCAATCTCGTTGGTTTGCACTCACGTAGTGCCGCAAGTACACTTCCAACAAGGCATTCACCCGCTCCGTCTGTCCGTCGCTTTGAGGATGAAACGCCGTCGAGAAGTTCAAGTTTGAGCCCATGATCTTGAACAACTCTCGCCAAAATCTACCCGTGAAGCGCCCATCTCTGTCGCTCACGATGCTGCTAGGAATGCCCCAATACTTGACCACGTTCTTGAAGAATAGCCGTGCCGCATCCTCCGCCGTTAAGTCTTTTGGCCCAGGAATGAACACTCCATACTTTGAGAATCTGTCCACCACAACCATGATGCAACCGCATCCATCGACTTTGGGAAGTCCGATGATGAAGTCCATGCTCACACTCTCCCATGGTCGTTGAGGCGTGGGCAAGGGCTCTAGCAAGCCTGCTGGGCTTCTCTGCTCCATCTTGTCTTGTTGGCACACAAGACAAGTCTTCACATACATCTCCACGTCGTCTCTCATACGCGGCCAGAAATATGCTTCTTCGATGAGCGCTTGCGTTCTCTCGATGCCGGGATGGCCCGCCCACTTGGAATCATGGCACTCCTTCATGATCTCCTTCCTCAAGTTGGCCCATCTTGGCACGAACATCCGCTCTCCCTTGGTCATGATGAGTCCATCCTTCATCCAAAACCGCCGAGTTTTACCTTGCTCAATGTACTCCGCTACGGTTTTGGCGAAGGGGTCATGGCCAAGGCCTTCAACGATCCGCTCTTTCAAAGGAAACGTGGGCTGGCTGATGCTTGCGGCTGCACTCTTGCGGCTAAGAGCATCGGCAACGGAATTCGCCTTGCCTGGGTTGTACTCCATGACGAAGTCGAACTCGGCCAAAAAGTCTTGCCACCTTGCTTGCTTAGGGGTGAGCTTCTTCTGCGTCAGAAAGTAGCTCGTTGCCACGTTGTCCGTCTTCACTACGAACTTTGACCCCAACAAATAGTGCCTCCATGTGCGCAAGCAATGCACCACGGCCGTCATCTCCTTCTCTTGGACGGTGTACCGCCTCTCCGTCTCGCTGAGCTTCCGACTCTCGAAGGCAATGGGATGCCCTTCTTGCATCAACACGCCCCCAATTGCAAAGTCGGATGCATCGGTCTGCACTTCGTAGGCCAACGTCGGGTTGGGGAGCACGAGCACGGGCTCCTTTATCACCGCTGCTTTCAAGGCCTCGAACGCTTCTTGGCACCTTTCCGACCAATCCCACGCCTTGTTCTTCTTCAAGAGATCCGTCAAGGGTGCTGCAATGTTGGAGTAGCCCTTGATAAACCTCCGATAGTAGTTGGCAAGGCCGAGGAATGACCGCAACTCTGGCACCTTCGTCGGCGGCTCCCATTCTTGGATTGCCTGCACCTTCGCTCCATCCATCTTCAACTTGCCTCCACCAATGACGTGCCCCAAGAATGGAACTTCCGTGGCGGCAAATGTGCACTTCTCCCTCTTGACGTACAACTCGTTGTCGCGAAGGACTTGGAAGACTTGGCGTAGATGCTCGGCATGCTCATCGAGTGTTTTGCTATACACGACGATGTCATCCAAGTAGACCACGACAAACCGGTCCAAGAATGGCTCGAACACTTGATTCATCAAAGTGCAAAACGTGGCTGGTGCGTTGGTGAGACCGAATGGCATCACAAGAAACTCGTAAGAGCCATACCTCGTCACACAAGCCGTCTTTGGCTCGTCGCCCTCTGCTATCCGCACTTGATAGTAGCCCGAGCGAAGATCTAGCTTGGTGAACCACATTGCATCTCCAAGCTGGTCGAACAAGTCGGCAATGTTGGGAATCGGCCACTTGTTCTTCACCGTCAACTTGTTGATGGCTCTATAGTCGATGCACATCCGCAACGACCCTTCCTTCTTCTTTTGAAACAGCACCGGTGCTCCAAAAGGTGACTTCGATGGCCGCATGTAGCCTGCGTCCACCAAGTCCTTGAGTTGCCTCCGCAATTCTTCTAACTCCGGTGGCGACATGCGGTATGGTGCTCGCGAAGGGGGCTTCGCTCCTGGCTCCAACTCGATCTTGTGGTCCACCTCCCTTCTTGGTGGTAGCTTCTTGGGCAACTCCGATGGCATCACATCATCGAACTCTTCGAGGACACCTTCGATGATGGGAGTTGTGATTCCCGTTGAGCCTCCTTCTTCCTCCATCTTCAAGGACACAAGAAAGGTTGGTTCATTCTTCTTGAACCCCTTCACCACTTGCATGGCCGATAGAGCACTATGGGGACCATCTTCTCTCAAGAGATGAACCGCATGGAACTCCCCTTCCTTCTCCAAGCACATCGTGTTGGAGTTGGGCTTCAAAAGCACTCCCTCCTTGTCGAGGAAGTGGATGCCGAGGATGACTGGGTGATCGTCCATGGTGACGACGGAAAAGTCGATGAGGCCTTCCCACTCGCCAAGCTTCATTGGTACGTTGTGAGCAACTCCATGGATCGGGATGGACTCCGAATTGATCGTCTTGAGCCTCCCTTGCCCCTTCTCGTAGGCAATACCCAGCCGGTTTGCCTCCTCGACGCGAAGAAAGTTGTCCGTGGCACCGGTATCCACCAAGGCTTTTGACTCGCCTTGCATGAATTGCGCCAGAACATAGCACCTCCCCCGCTTGCTCTCCTTGACGTCGGTCTTCACCGCGCCAAGCTTGCGGATTGAGCCAATCTTGGCCTCCGCCGCCTTGGGCTCCTCATCTTGAGCTTCCATGGCTGCCAATCTCGCCTTCCTTGGGCAATCTCGCACTCGATGTGGTCCGTCGCAAAGGAAGCAAGTCATGGGTTTTGGCTCGTACTTACCCCCTTTGCTTGAACTACCTTGGTGTTGTTGAGTGCGAGAACCCTCCTTGAAAGGCTTCTGCTGTTCTCCACCCTTGTTGGGCTTCGAACTCTTCTCTCTGCCGCTGCTCTCTTGTCGTTTGTACTCGACAAAAGACTCTGCCGTGGCCATGGCAGTTGCAAGGTCTTGCACTCCTCGACGTTGCATCTCCATCTTGGCCCATGGTTGCAGCCCATCAAGAAAGCCGTGCATGGCCTCCTTGTCCGTGATGTCCGGGATCTCTAGAAGCAGCTCCGAGAATTCTTTCACGTATTCTCGAACTCCACCCCTCTGGGTGAGTCTTCTCAACTTCGAACGGGCTTCAAACTCCACGTTCTCTGGGTAGAACTGCTTCTTGATTTCTCTCTTGAAATCTTCCCACGTTACCATCACACAAGTACCTCTTTCGACGTCCGCTTCACGTCGCCTCCACCACACCATGGCAACATCAACCAAGTAAAGTGGAGCGGTACGAATCTTTACCTCATCCTCTTGGATGCCGGACGCCTTGAAATATTGCTCAAGACTCCAAAGGAAGTTCTCTAACTCCCTCGCATTCCGTGAACCTCCGAAGCTCTTCGGTCTTGGAATATCAGCACGTGGGACGGATTGCACCGTGGCTGGTCCGCTAGCCATGGCTCTCTTCACGAGAGTGACCTCACTCTTGAGATCTGCAATCTCCTCCTTCACGCCGACCAGCTCAGCCTGGACTTGCTCTTTCACAACTCCGATAGCGTTGTTCAAGGATGTGGTGATGGTGTTGTTGATGAGGGCCACAAGCTCTTCTCGTAAGCCATCACTACCAATCTCCAAGCTCGACAAACGAGCATTCATACCTTGAAAATCGCTTTCGACTTGGGTGAAGTTTGCTCCCAAATCCTCGATGGCACTGATGTCTTCTGCCAACTTCACCTCCATTCTAGAGACACGCCTCTCTAGAGACGTCATAGGATCACGAGTGCTTGACTTCTCACCCTTTGGTTTGGTATTCTTCACGGCATCCCTTCCACGATGCTTCTCATCGTCGTGAACTTCTGATCCCGACATTTTTGGTGAGGTTCTTCCTTTCCTTCTGGCTCTAGGTTCAACTTTGCTAGCACAAAGCCGAACCAGGCTCTGATACCACTTGTCACGACCTTACTCTTGATCGTGCGGCCCTAGCTCTCAATTCCGTTAGAGCGCTAGGCAGCCTTTCTCTCAACTCACTTGAAAGCAAAGAACAAGAACAAAGACAAAGGAAGTGGGAGAACTCTCTAGTGTGTATTACTCTAAAAAATGATGGAATGAGTTACAAGTGAGGGAGATGGCTCCTTATATAGGCCTCTCCACATACAAGGCATCAATGCCCCCTCATAATGGTCCCTCTACATCAATACACCCCATAAAGTCCCCCCATAATGCACTCTAATAATGCTACCCATAATGTAGCCCATAAGTGCACCATTAAGCTCTCATTTAGGTGGAGAATCCTAGGAGCATCTCTATGCTACTAGTCTTCCATGCATGCCACATGTGCTGCTGCCATGTTGTCACCTTGTTGGCGCCATGTCATCTGCCACACGTGACAGGTACCATCACAAATTTCGAGCGATTTTTCCGAAATGCTATTTTCTTTTGATTATGGAGGCTGCTGATCACGGAATCAGGCCGAGGCTATTCTCCACCGATAATGAAGTCTGTTGATCCTATTCTCCACGGATGATAAGTAGATTAACACCGATTTGGGCCAATTTATTTTCGATGACATTTTTGTAATTTTTGGACGACGAAAGACCATTTTCTTTGGATTTTGAAAGCTACAGATCACGGATTCAGCCTGAGGATATTCTAATGAAGTCTATTGATCCTATTCTCCACGGATGATAAGTGCATTTAGCAGCGATTTGGGCCTAATTATTTTCGGATGGCATTTGTAATTATTTGGGCAACGAAAGGCTATTTTCTCTTGATTTTGAAGGCTACATATCACGGATTCAGCCTGAGGATATTCTTCAACGATGATTAAGTGCATTTAGCACCGATTTGGGAGGATTTATTCCGTGTCAATTTTTTGGCATATTCTAAAGGGGTACCATCACAGATTTCGGGCAATTTTTTTGAAATGCCATTTTCTTTCGATTCTGGAGGCTACATATCACGGAATCAGGTCGAGGCTATTCTCCACCGATAATGAAGTCTATTGATCCTATTCTCCACGAATGATAAGTGCATTAAGCAGAGATTTAAGGCAATTTATTTTCGGATGATATTTTCATAATTTTTTGGGCGACGAAAGGCCATTTTCTTTGGATATTGAAGGCTACCGATCACGGATTCGGTCTGAGGCTATTCTTCATTGATGATTAGGTGCATTAAGCACCGGTTTAGGAAGATTTATTTCGGATCAATTTTTGGCAGATTCCAAAAGGGTACCATCACAGATTTCGGGCGATTTTTCCGAAATGCCATTTTCTTTTGATTCTGGAGGCTACAGATCACGGAATCATGCCGAGGCTATTATCCACCTATAATGAAATCTATTGATCCTATTCTCCACGGATGATAAGTGCATTAAGCACCGATTTAGGCCAATTTATTTTCGGATGACATTTTCGTACTTTTTTGGACTACGAAAGGACATTTTCTTTGGATTTTGAAGGCTACAGATCACGGATTCTGTCTGAGGCTATTCTTCAACGATGATTAGGTCCATTAAGCACCGATTTGGGAGGATTTATTCCGGGTCAATTTTTGGCAGATTCCAAAGGGGTACCATCACAAATTTCGAGCGATTTTTCCGAAATGCTATTTTCTTTTGATTATAGAGGCTGTTGATCACGGATTCAGGTCTAGGCTATTCTCCACCGATAATGAAGTCTATTGATCCTATTCTCCACGGATGATAAGTAGATTAACACCGATTTGGGCCAATTTATTTTCGATGACATTTTCGTAATTTTTGGGCGACGAAAGACCATTTTCTTTGGATTTTGAAGGCTACAGATCACGGATTCAGCCTGAGGATATTCTTTAACGATGATTAAGTGCATTTAGCACCGATTTGGGCGGATTTATTTCGGGTCAATTTTTGGCATATTCTAAAGGGGTACCATCACAGATTTCGGGCAATTTTTTCAAAATGCCATTTTCTTTCGATTCTGGAGGCTACAGATCACGGAATCAGGCCAATGCTATTCTCCACCTATAATGAAGTCTATTGATCCTATTCTCCACGGATGATAAGTGCATTAAGCACCGATTTGGGCCAAATTATTTTCGGATGGCATTTTGTAATTTTTTGGGCGACGAAAGGCTATTTTCTCTGGATTTTGAAGGCTACAGATCACGGATTCAGTCTGAGGATATTCTTCAACGATGATTAAGTGCATTTAGCACCGATTTGGGCGGATTTATTCCAGGTCAATTTTTTTGCATATTCTAAAGGGGTACCATCACAGATTTTCGGGCAATTTTTTATGAATTTATCTAAATTCAGCATCCATATGTTGTGGTCTACACTTTACATATACAAATATACACTATATGAGCAATATTGAGCTTTATATTTTATGAGTCTAAAAGGGATGAACGTTAACTCTTGAGTGGTTATGCAAAGTATTAAGTATGTGTATATAATATACGTGAGATATATGACTAATTACTTAACTGGTTAATTTGGTTTGATTGGTTAAGAGTATCTGAAACCAAACCGAACCACCTAAACCAAACAAGCTAAAAACTTTAACCAAACCAAACCAATTATCCAAATTAACCAAACCAAATTATGCAAATAGTACTGGTTAAAACGGTTACCACAATAACCATATTTGTATATGTATATATTCTGATTGAACAAAATCCATATTTGTATAGAATAAATATACACATTAAATATTTTGTATTAAACGGGCACCGACTAACCATGAAACAAACATTAAAATAAATGACTGATAAGAAAGAAGAAAAAAATGCTTGATGCCAAAAAAATTTATAAAAATAAATAAATCGAATGATTGTAATTCACCCAATCAAAATGAGTAAAGATTTTGAGTTTTGACCCAACGTTATAGTATATAGGCCCAGCTCCAGTCCAAGTTATGGGCCCAATGCGGCGGGAAACCGACGGTCCAGCTCCTGGCTGCGCAGTCCAAGTCAAAATCGCATAATCAGAAAAGGCGGCTTCTGTGCAATGCGAGACGACGACAACTGGCATAATATAATGGCTCTGAGCCTGATTTTGACACGTGACCAAATCAGAAATGCTTACTTCCTTTCCTTTTACTCTTTTTTTTTTTTTTTGGTCTTCCTGTGTTGCTTCCAGATTTCCAGGAGGAAATGTTTGATTATATACGACTCCATGCATCAAATTATTAATTGTCCCTTCCCCTCAACCTTTAAAATTTTCATGTCCGAAAACTAATTACGGAATACTAAAAGTGGCCACCAGAGAATGAGAACCTTCGTTGTTATCGATGTTTAGGAGGCGGCTCGCCAATTTCTTTTATGCGTACGAATTGACGAACCCATCAACGAGGTTTTCGATCTATCATAACAGATGAGAATGATCGAACTTCGAATGAATGAAATCAATAATTATAAAAACTCCATTTTTTAGTCGTGCAACGCCACCGAAACTTATAATTCTCAAAATAGGTGGCCTAATTGGTCTTCGCTTGACTTACGATGCAAGAAGTAAGAGAGCTACATATAGCTCACGGGATTCTATTATGTGCACGCATGTGTTGAATGGAAGTCACGACATACCATCATATCAACTATTAAACTCATTTATCCAAAGATCAGGTCAATCGTAATTTATAAGCACTCCTTCACTCTAATTTATACACTTTCATTGCTATCTAATTTTATCAATATTTTACTCAACAAATAAACCGCAAGCTGAACGAATTTTTCAATTTTAATCTGACGCATTTCATTAAGTGTGCACGTTTTCACTTCTTAAATTTTCTCACCTAAATGAAATCGATTGAGAATCAAAGTGACAAACCCGTGCCACGCCTAAACTAACACCACATATGAAATAATTAACCCTTTAGCATAATACAAATTTCGAATACCAAATATCTAGGGTTTCCATTTTCCTTTTCAAGACGGTCAAATATGAAAAGTGGAAGAGTCTAGAAGGGGCATAGGTTTCATCACACCGATATCCCGCGTGTCTCATGTGATCCTTGCGCCACAACAGAATATATTGCTCCTGACCTGCCTAATTACTAATTAGTAGTGTGATTATAATAAGGTTAGTACTTAATATGTAGACAATTAGACATAGTATATTAAATACTAATGCATGGGGTTATATAGTAATTACCATTTCTGCTGCTGCTGCTTTTCCTGGAACTGCGGTACTAAGCAAGAAGAGACAGCTGCAACGGCACTAATTTCTTGGAGCTCAAGTCGGCCGCCTCTCTCCCCCATTCTTCCTTCCAATTCCAGTTTCCAAGCCTTTCTTTTGACATTTTCTTTTGATATTATTTTCACAATTTGGTAGCGGAATCCAAGTTCTACAACCTCTCCCCCTCCCTCCTCTGTTCTTAGAAGCGTTAAATCTCCGAACCCCAGAGTTCTTGGAAAACAAATCTCCTTCCCTCCCTCTCTCTCGCTACGGTAAAGCTAGGTAAAACATTGATCTCCCCTCCCTGTTGCCTTTGTTTAGTCGCCTTTTAGTATTGCTGAACGTATTGCGATCTGAATGCATTTGCGTATGATGTTCTTATCACAGTTACCGTCGTCATGAGTTATTGATTTGGCTGATCTGCAATTCGATTATTGTAGAAGTACATAGGAGGGCATCGTTTCAATTTTCGATTCCATCAAGGTGGGAAGAAGGGTTTTTTTTTGTCAGTGAGCTGTGGCTGTTCATTTAGATACACATTGTTCAATCATACCTCAGAGTTATTTGCATTTGTCAAAAAAGAGGCCAAAACAGTGGGTATTGAGTCTGGTATTACACCATAGCCAGATGAAGAAAGCGATTTTTGGGTTTTGTTCTGTTGTCAAAAGGGTCCTAGAAAGTGGCTTTCTTGTTTGCATCGGCAAGGTTGTGCACAGTAGTTTTTAGAATGCACCCCAGCTGTTCTACTTATTGTCTAAATGGGCATTTTCCCCCCTAACATGTTTTCCGAAGCATGATAATTCCTCTTATATGTCTGATTGCCCTCTCGTTCTGTTTAACAGGTCCATCAGGCAAAAACTTCAACAGTTGATTTGGTTCTCAGACAGCCATCAATGGCATTGGCAAGGATTGCCAGAACCGGTCTACGAAGGACAAGAATTTCTTCTTCCTCTCCTGCAAGTTTCTTCACACTCTCAGAGCATTCTCCCGTCACAACAAGCTCCATTCTAAATCCACCTCGGACAGCAACTTCTTACTACCAAACAGTGAACCATGCGAGCTTTTGGAGCAGCAGGGGATTCAGGGGAACCCCAAATCACCAGTTTCCGAGTGCAGAGCGGATTGTGGACGATCATTTCGAGCACAATGAGCCGAAACGCCCTGGCCTAGAGGCGACTAAGCGCGGCGAGAAGCCGAGGGTGGTGGTTCTGGGGACCGGATGGGCTGCTTGTAGGTTCATGAAAGGGCTGGACACCAAAATCTATGATATCGTCTGCATTTCTCCGAGGAATCACATGGTGTTCACTCCTTTGCTGGCTTCGACATGCGTTGGGACGCTGGAATTCAGGTCTGTTGCTGAGCCAGTGAATCGGATTCAACCTGCGTTGGCTTCGGCGCCTGATTCGTACTTCTACTTGGCGTCTTGCCTAGGCATTGACACTGACAAACATGAGGTTAGGATCTGCTCTTTGGTCTCCTTCTGTTCAGTTACTCATATGAACAAATTGAGGAATTGATAGGAAATATAAGTTAAGAGTTTGATCAATCCCAGCGGAACAATGGGACATGCATTTTTGGACATTTTTCAAAGCTAGTGGAATGAATTAACACTTATATGTTATAAGTCTTTTGGTAGCTTGTGGAGTAAGAGGTTTGCATGGAATATGTGGCATCAACCCATCTGATCTATTCATTTTTTAATATCTTCTCTAGTAGAATGTACTTTAGATTTTAGTTCATTAGAGACAACTTGATTAAGTGGTAAGAGGCGTTTGTGCAAATTTGGAACTTCAATAAAGAAATTTGAGATTAATTAGATATCTAAGAGAAATAATACAAGATTATAATGAGATGTACACATGTTGTAAAATTGAGAACATCATGGAGTGATATAAAGCAAGGCATATGTATCTATGCATGCAATACAATGTTGAGCCATCTTACAACATTAGAGATAGTTAATTATACTCTACTGATGGGTTCTTTTGCTCATTAAGGTAATCTGCGAAACGGTGACCAATGGCGGGCTGCCCAAGGAACCACACCAGTTCAAAGTAGCTTATGACAAGCTTGTGATAGCTGCTGGAGCCGAGCCACTGACTTTCGGGATTAAGGGTGTGAAGGAACATGCATTCTTCCTCAGAGAAGTTAACCATGCTCAGGAAATCAGGAAGAAACTCCTCCTCAACCTCATGCTCTCTGACAGCCCTGGTACACTACTTCATTTAACGATCCTTGTGATGCCAATGATGGACTACATAGCTGACAAACCTCAGTTGTAACTTGTAATGGATGTACTGACAGGGAGAAAAAAAACTCTTGGTTTTGTCTTTGGCAGGAGTACCTGAAGAAGAAAAAAAGCGCCTTCTCCATTGCGTTGTGATTGGTGGAGGCCCTACTGGCGTGGAATTCAGTGGCGAGCTCAGTGACTTCATCGGCAAAGATGTTCGCGAGAGATTCTCTCATGTCAAGGATGACATCAAAGTCACCCTCATCGAGGTACACACAACAAAACCTTAGATTCCATTTCCAAGTCCTCCCATATAAAATCACAGATTCACAGCTTCCAAATATCTCAATGTTACACTTCTCGTTGGCACAGGCGAATGAGATCCTATCGTCCTTCGATGTTGGGCTACGACAGTATGCAACGAATCATTTGACAAAGGTAAAATCTTCACATCATCGTTACACAAGATGAAGGCAAATCAGTAATAAGATCAAATATCGGTTTTGTCTAGCAACTAACTGACTGATGATGTTCGTTGGTTGGGATCAGTCTGGAGTGAGGCTAATGCGTGGTGTGGTAAAAGAAGTGCACCCGAAGAAGATTGTTCTCAACGACGGAACCGACGTTCCCTATGGTCTCCTTGTTTGGTCCACCGGCGTCGGTCCCTCCGAGTTCGTCAAAGAACTCGACCTCCCCAAGTCCCCTGGTGGAAGGTACAATCCTCATCCTTAATCCAGCATTTTTGTGTCACTATATGGAAAAGATTGAACTCTTGACAGAACTTTTGCTCCCAAAATGCAGAATCGGAGTCGACGGCTGGCTGCGAGTCCCGTCGGCGCCCGACGTGTTCGCTCTCGGCGACTGCGCCGGTTTCCTGGAGGAAACAGGGAGACCAGTGTTGCCTGCTCTGGCTCAAGTCGCCGAGAGGCAGGGGAAGTACTTGGTCGGGCTCTTCAACGACCGGATCGGAAAACAGAACGGCGGCAAGGCGAATGCCACGGCGGGGAAAGACGACATTCCTCTCGGAGATCCGTTCGTGTACAAGCATATGGGAAGCATGGCGACGGTGGGGAGGTACAAGGCCCTGGTGGATTTGCGGCAGTCCAAGGACGCCAAAGGGCTGTCCATGGCGGGGTTCTTGAGCTGGCTGATTTGGCGCTCTGCTTACCTGACGCGCGTGGTGAGCTGGAGGAACCGGTTCTACGTGGCGGTCAACTGGGCGACGACCTTCGTCTTCGGCAGGGATAACTCCAGGATATGAAGAGTTTAATTTATGATCACGATAATGATTCTTTTTTGGGTCTGATTGAATCTGTGACAGTTCCATTACTATTATGCTATTATGTTGAATCGATTTGCTTTTTTTTTTTTTTGGGTCGAGATTGAAATGTTCTGAGAAGAAGGGGGAAGATGAAATCAACACACACAAAAAATCAGATTGAACCAAGAAATCAAATTTTCATTTCTCTGTACAAATCCCCTGTTTCCGCCATCAAAACTTGCATTAGCCGGAAGGCGAGAAAGTGCTTTCTAGAGCCGACCCATCCGAAGCTTCAAGAAATTCGTCTTACAACGGAGAATCGACGAAGACTCCGACTCCGGCTCCTGCCCGGCGGCGGAAGGAGAAAATGGAAGCGATGGAGTGAGCGAGGCCCGTCACTATCGCCACCTTCACTTGCCCTCGCTTGGGGATCGGCCGGCGCGATAGTCTCATCCTCCTCCTCGACGAAGACGCATTGCTACCGCCGAAAGAACCTGAGCCTGCCATCTCCGATTTGGGAGTTTAACTTCGCCGCCGGTGAGGGGAGGAAGAAAGGAATTGAGATCGGAGGTGGATTGAGTTTTGACGTTTTGGAGTGAATTTTCAATTTTGTGAGATCGGATTTGTGTGTTGGGTGTTTATATAGTGGAGCTTGGTTGGAATAGGGGCATGGTTTTGGGGTTAATTACGGTGTTCAGCCACTGTTTTTGACCCTCGTTTGGCGAGCTTTGACCCTTTGCAGACTGAGAGTCTGGGACTGTCAGTCACTCAGCTCAACTTGCCTTGTGTTTTTTACTTGATAAATAATGTGATTCAATCATAATATTTATCTCTTGATCAGTTCATATTTATCCCACGTTTTGAATTTAGAGTAAATCCTCCAAACTTTTGGGTTCCTCAAAATATTTATTAGCATATTTTGGGAATTTTTGTTTTAAAATGTTTTCTTTTACATTGGAGAAACAATTGCAAATTGTCGTTGCCACTTAAGTTTTTTTTTTTTTTTTTTGAACAATATCGTTGCCACTTAAGTGATGTTACAAGCTTGATAAATTTTAGAGTAGTTGGTTCGAGAATGTCCAAATATAAGGGTCGGGGGACTTTTGAAAGACAAGGCAAAGCTTGCAAATCTGACGAGAAGTGTTTAATAGATGTATCCTGTAAAATATAATATTGTTTTTATATAATTTAAGCACATAATGTTTGTATTTAGATGGTGTACTCCTTAAACATGAAAATTGATGTGTACAAGTCTTATCTTTCGGTCATGCAATTTTTAGTGTTTTCCAAACAGTGAATTTACAAAATAAACTTATTCCTAATAAATACACTATTTTCGAAATCAAAGTTTCAAAAAAAACTTACGATCTACATATTGTAACAAACATCACAAACCGCTCATATTAAATCAGATCGAATCGTATCGCTTCAAAATTATTCATTTTTTTGGTATAATGACCAAGAATGGTAACTTCGACGAAATACCAATCAAGAGTTAAATCTGTCACGATGCAAGGAAAAAAACTACACCATAGTTTTTTTTTTTTTTTCAAATTTACTCTAAATGAATCAAATACCCTATCCCCTCCCACTAACAATTCTTTGGTGGTTTTTTAAACAGAAAATTCACGTGTGTGAATTGGCGGCCCACCACCATCAGAATCAAACCGCAGCCTAGATGTCGTTAACCCATCTGTGGGGCCTTGTTTTGTTGGTGTTTTCTTTTCCTTTTAAGTTTCTTTACTCCATAATAACTTAATAAGAATTAAGAACCAACTATCTCTTTTCAATTTTCATGCAGTTGATCAAGTTAGATCAATGTGCCTAATTTCTATCTAAAGCAAGCATTCGATATGGACTATTATAGTTCTAATATGACCTAATAGATATCTCACATGAAAAAATCACATGGGGTCAATTGAGGGGAAGAAGTTAAATTAGGTAAACCCAAAATAAAATACATTGCTACGGTAAGTACCCTTTGTTCACAAGTAGTCTGGTTGCATACAGACTATCGTACATTGTCTGAGTCAGTCTTGTAATCGTGTCGAGTCTTTATACCCTCTGGTCTTGCCTTGAAAAAAAAATACCATTTATTTACAATTATTCGTCACTCGTGATCTTCCCGCTCTTCTTTGTTCCCTCTCAATACCCCTATGACATGTCAGTTCATTAAAAGAGAATGAAAAATACCAGAGAGCTCACAAAAACTCGAACCCAACACTTCTTGCTCACATGCTCATATGTAACTGAAAATACTTAAAAATTTTGTAATCTCTATCATAATTGATGTCCAATATGCACATATCCATTGCACTGAGACACTAACTTTTCTCTCTTTTACCACTTCGTCACTTTCAGTAGTGGGGAGGATGTGTTTGTTGCCTTAATCAGTTAGTGCATTGTATTATCCACCCACCTTCTTTCTCCTGATCCAACCCAAATCTTTTGCAATTAACGATCTAATCTAGTAGTTATCATTAAATTTCCCCACCAGTGGCATTAGATTAATTAGCATTTATCTCTTTGACAGGCACCCATATCTCAAATCATTTCCCCTTTCTTTTTGGGTTGCTTCTCGCTTGCTTATTCTGGGTTATCTTTAGTTTTATTATGGGATGTACAGAGATGATAGATCCCACTCTCTTTTTGTTGATGTGTCCACTCGGTTTGTTATTAGGAATGGCAATGGGCAGGTCCGGAACGGGTTTTTTGGTATTCAGACCCGTTTCGTGGCAGGTCGGGTAATTTATTACGGGTCGCAGGTCGGGGCAGGTCGACTCAATGGGTATGCATTTTATATGAAAAACATTAGAAATATTCGTTATTTTTATTATAGGACCAAGAAAACAAACAATATTATGATAAATGTAGTTAAATTATCAAAGAAATTGAGGTTTTCACTAATTTACAACTTTATTATAGCTAAATTATGATGTAATAAAAGAAAATTCCTAAATAATTTGACTGAGATTACATGTAATTTAGGCAAGAACGGGTCGAGAATGGGGCGGGACAGGGCAGGTCGGATCAATGAGAGTACCCATGCCTGCCCCGCCCCGCCTACGGGCGGGTCGGACCCTCCCCAAAACAGGCCAAACAGATCGGGTAAAACGGGTCGGGTCGAAATTGTCATCCCTATTAGTTATTTGGGAAAATAATGAGCTTTTTATTATTTGCTAACCGAGTTAAGTAGTTTTCAATCTAAAACAATGTATAGAGTAGAGAGGTTAATTAACAGAATATATGTTAATTAGGTACTACTAAAGAGATTCAAATATGGAACCTTCAGTCCAATGCTAGTGGTATTACCATTAGACCAATCCATTATCCGTAATGTAGTTGTAGTTGTGGGATGCATGCATTCTCATATAGGCAATGTCTTAGACTCTTGCTTGGCGCTTCTAAGTGGGGTTTGAAGACTCGTTAACTCAACTAATTTAGCTTTGAGGGTGTTTGGTGCAACGTGCATTTATCCAATGACTTCTTGGTATTTCGTAGTAGAGGAATGATTAATTGTTACGATAGGAATGGAATATAATATCTTCACTAGGATGTTAAATATACAAAATTTTACTTTGCAATACTTTATTATTGATTTACTATCCAAGATTTTAAGAGTACAAGAGTGTATTTAAAAAGAACACCAACAAGAGGGTGCATTTGTATATGAACTCTCTCTTAGATGAGTCCAACACGTTAAATACTTGAGCTACAAACTCACTTATACAGAATAATTAAGATTTTATTAAAGTTAGCATTATTTTGAGAAGTATTTTTCTTCTTAGTTTTATTTATATTCATGAAATTTTAGATTTTATCTGTACCATGGGAATTTGAGCACTTATTTGTCACTTTCGTCTATATATTTACTGTACCCTTTAATGGGTTTCAACTTTCAACCTATACTAAGGATGTGAGGAACCCAATCTGCTGGGTTTGTTCAAAAAAAGGCCCAATATGCAACAATAATTCGGCTCAGAAGTAGTATAGCCAACCCAAAGATATTTGGACCAGTTTTCTTTTGGGCTGACGTCGGCCCAACAAAGCAAAAACCTTAAGAAAATATATAGTCTGTCAGACAACCACATGACCATCCAAGCCGCCTCAGCGGCCAAGAACGATCATCTACAACTTTGACGAGCTCAGAGATCATCTCAACCGTTAATCACGCTCTGATCATGTGGCCACAATTCATCCACCAGACTTGGAAACCTGTCTCCTTAGTGCTAAAGGACACAGAGGTACGAGCCTATAGAACAGATCCTGTTCAAGTAAGGTCGTGTCTACTTTCTTCCCGATTCAGCATTATAACGAATAGCAAGTTTCTACCAAAAAAAAAAACGAATAGCAAGTCGGCCAAAACGAACAATATGGTATAATTGAAGAAACTACCAGCTTCCAACATAACAAAGTCGTGGGCCTCGCTCGGCCCAATGAACTCGAAAACAGGGCCTGCAGCTGCATATTCGTTCTATTAACACTCAGAAGTCTGGAATCCCGACTTCTTTTCCTTTCCCTTCAATTTACATAGTTTTTCTTTGGCAGGCAGGAAGAGTTCCATCTTAAACATCAACAACAGCTTTGATGATCTTTCCATGCAGTTCAGCTCCAGCCGGCGGCGGCAACGATCGCAACCGTCGAGCCTTTGCAAGTAGAGAGACCCACCTGAGAAAGTCCAGCGGCCGGCCGCCGGCATCATCATGTCCTTTTAAGCCATTTCCCTAAAGGATAAATGTCAGCTGGTCTTTAGCCAATGAAAAAACAGGAAAATAGCAGAAAATCATATGCTGCTGAAGAAGCTCTTTCAGTTCTCGTTTCTTGATGAAGTTCCAGCAGCAGGAACCATGTTATGAGTTAAACTGGGCCGGAAGAGGCCCAATTGACTTTAGCGTCTACTATTCTACCACATCACTTGTTTCTTCCACCTCGCTTCTCTTTATAAGGCTCAAACGAAAGTCCATTTATCACGACCTTACTTGAACAGGATCTGTTCTATAGGCTCGTACCTCTGTTTCCTTTAGCACTAAGGAGATAGGATCCCAAGCTTGGTGGATGAATTGTGGCCACATGATCAGAGCGTGATTAACGGTTGAGATGAATTTCAAATTCTTTGACGCCTGTTTCCTTTAGCACTAAGGAGATAGGATCCCAAGCTTGGTGGATGAATTGTGGCCACATGATCAGAGCGTGATTAACGGTTGAGATGAATTTCAAATTCTTTGACGCCGTAGATGATCGTTCTTGGTTACTGAGGTGACCCGGATGGTCATGTGGCTATCTGACAAGTTTTGAATTTTTTTTGCCGAGGATGAACAATTTTTAGATTTAGATTCAACGTAAAATATTTAATTCTGAACCCTGTGAAAAAACGACATCTAAACCAAAATGCAAGATCCTCATATTTTTTAGATTTAGATTCAACGTAAAATATTTAACTCTGAACCCTGTGAAAAAACGACATCTAAACAAAAATGCAAGATCGTCATATATGTTTTTTTTTTTTTTTTTTTTTTGAGGATGAACAATTTTTAGATTTAGATTCAATGTAAAATATTTAACTCTGAACCCTGTGAAAAAACGACATCAAAACCAAAATGCAAGATCGTCGTTGAATTCAGTATGATTTGGAAAAAATGGTCTTTCAGCCATTATGACTTCAACCCAACAAGTGTTTACTCTGCATTTGGATTTTATGATACTAGTTGAACCAATTCATCAGGAGTTTATTTTTCCAAATCTTACTCATGAAAATAAAACATAATTCATTATTAGTCGCTTACTACCGCCGATTAGTGAAGCAACGAAACCATAAATCGGGTTGGATCCGGTCCTTAAGCCTCATTGTTTAAGGAGGTTCTTAAATGATTTTTATTGGCTTATACTAGATTAGGTAGTTAATGATGGTTAGTAGTTAATATTTAGTTTGAATAAATAAGATATTATAAAAATATAATTAATATTACTCATTAATAATTCTCTTTCTCTCTCTCCCTTGATCTTCTCCATAACCCTCTCTCTCCACTACAATGAAAAGGAAATTCAAAATTAATTTAATTAAATATTATTATTTAATAAATTCGAACTTAATACTTTTTATTTTTTATAATTAAAATTGAAAATTAAAAATATATGCTCTCTCTTACTTCGTGGCAATTTGCAATCCATTATTAACATTTTGCAATGACATTATCAGCCTTTATGAAATGAATCGTTATTAGTATACCTCATCACTATTAACGATTTCAATATACTTATCAATTCTTTACAATTACATTATTAACAATTTTGGATCCATTGTTACCGTTTTATGGTTTCGTCATCAACGCCTATGAATGAATCATTAAAGTTATGTAACATGGTCATTAACAGTTTGAATAACAATATCATTGATTTACAACATCTTTAATACTAATGATTCACATTTTCACATCATGTTTATAACTATATAGTCATGGCCTCTTTCAATGATTTCTAATGACATTATTAACGTTTTATGATCAATTAATATTGCTTTACATTATCATTCTCAATGATCATAAAGCACAATATTCAACATCTTGGGTACTTGTGACATAGTGCACTTGTGTGATTCAGTCAAACAAACATTGTCAAGAAAAATATTAGCCCAAGCAAACCAACATTCACGCCTCAACACCAAACTTTTAATAACATTACAATAAATCATTGATAATGAAAAGTATTTCGTTGAAAATAAACACAAAACATCAATATAATAATGTCCGACTTCAACATTATAAAATGACATCAAGCTTTTAATAAAGATATTAAAAACCATTAATAACAAATAAGCAAGTCACTGATAAGGAAATATATTTTTATAATAAAAAATATTAATAATATTCAAATTAATTGTTTAATATAAAATAACACTAAAAACACATTAATAACTAACATGTGTTTAGTGGTTAGTGCAATAAAAAACTTTGATAATGATAGCAACTAATAATTGTTAAGTACCTTACTAGATATTATTAACATCTTATTTTTTTCAAACATTGATAATGCTTATACACGTCCATTAATAATGACACCAACTACGTTACTAACTTAGCCTGAAAGGTTAATAACCGTAGTTATATCATTAAACACAAATTCACTTTTGCTAATGTCATAAACAAACGAATACCTAACAAGTATGCTTCTTGATAAATTGATAATGACATTTGACAAAGTTACAAACATAAACGAAAAAATGTTAATAATACAAATCAATGAAATAAATGGTTGCTAATGGTTGTATTGTGCTTGCAAAAAACATTGATAATAGCACTTCAAATTATTATAAATCATTGCGAACCAAATTGATAATACGATGTAATAATAAATGAACTTTAAATACCAACAAATTGAAAACACAATTTCACTTTTGCTAATGTTACACACAAAACAAAACATAAAAAGTTAATAATGTCATATAACATTATTAAAAAACCCGTTGAACAACATTAATAATAACACAAATGAATACCTTAAAACGAAAAATCCTACACCCATGCAACGAAAAACCCTATTGATGATTCAATTTATAAATATTGATAATGTCATTACAAAATATTGATACTAAATTGCAAGTTGCCAAGATGTGAGAGATGCCATATATTTGAAATTTTAAATTTCCATTTATGAAAAGGAAAATTATTAAATTCGGATTTCATTAAATATTAAATAAAATTTTGTATTTTTTTATTATAATGTAGAGATGGTTATGGAGAAAATCATGGTAGGAGAGAGAAAGAGAATCATTAATTAATAATATTAATTTTATTTGCATAATCTCATTTACTCTTAACTACCTATTAACTTCTAACATCTTTTAACTACCTAATCCACTATCAACCAATAGAAAGACTTTAAAATTCTCCTTAAGGAATAAGACTTAAGGACTTGAACTCAAGCCCCCTCTAACCTCGAAAGCATGCCAAGGAAATGAGCGGACAGAAACTAAAAAGGTCAAAGGAACTGTGATCTTCTCAACTGCCATGGCCGGCCTATGGATCGAATTAGAGCCAAGGAAACGAGTATCCGTTGACTTGTGAGCATCCCATTTATTACAAATGCCTCCCAAAGGGGACTAATTATGCCAAGTATATGCTGTAAAGTCGGTAATATCTCGAACCTTTTTTTTAGGATGCATATCAAAGTCATTTTCTCGAGAGGTCACCCTTCTTACAGTGCTTTACACCGAATACGTTTTAACAAGTACTCTTCCATTTCATCTTAAAATGCGTCTTGTCAGTTAATGTCGATTTCTCTTACTTATGAATCATCTTTCATATTCTTTGTTGATATGAGATTTGTGTAAAGTGGTATAATATGTTTGATAAGGGGGAATTGGCTTGTACTCCGGTGGATATATGTACAAAAGTCAAGTAGACAACAGCTTGCAATCGGGCTTCAGGTTGGCCTTCTTATCTTTAATTGTCCTTTGCTGCCCCTTCTTCTTGCTACTATTGCTTCTGATCATTTTTGTCAGACCTAAGTTGAGAGATAAACGATTGGGTCGGAAGTCGATCTCTAGAGCGATTTGATTCATAGTCTGATCGGATTAAAGTGTTAGTTGATAACTGAAATAGAACTTAAGAGGTTGATGATTGTTTAGATATTCGATTGCCGATCCAGTGGTATTTTTAATTTGTTTCCTTTGATTCCCATATGGTATAGCATGTGATTTTGATAGTTAATGTTGGTTTTTGGTGGTCATTCGAGTTAGACTCTCGGTCCCGAATGATCATGGTCTGACCGATTCAATCGATCAGATTGAGCCGGGTTTGATACCACGAAACAAAAAGGGTATTGTTGCAGAAAAATTGAAGTGGAGGAACATATAATATTTTCTTCAATCATGGTCCTTTTGCTTCACTTTATTAGCTATTTTCTCCACCTGGTCCTCAAAAAACATGGTAGGAGATAGTACTGCGATCATGGGATGATAGTATGATACCACGATAATGAGCTAACCCTAGACAATTGAAAATAACGACGTAGAAGTGACAACCCAAATTAAACACCCATTCTAGTAGCAATTTCAGGAGACTTACGAGGGTGTGACCGTAATGACTAATCCTCTCGTATTTTAGTTATAAATTTGGAGAGTTTATCATTGATAATACAAATATCGTGCATCGTCACTTTGTAACCAACAGTTAATCGGTTCATTTGAATACATATAATTAACGAGAATTTTTTCGTTGTTATCGTTGACGAAAAAATGGAGTATGGATAGCTATAGAAAGCTCATCATAGTAAACCCATAATTAATGAGAGGCTATGGAGTTAATGTTAGAGAGGTAGGTCTCTAACCTGTACACCAAACTACATGACAGGTGCGATCTATTATGTATGACTTTGGATGATTATTATTGTGCTCAAAATGTTTAATCCTCAAGGAAAGACGACTTGTGGCAGTTGTGGGATTGGGAAGTTTGGTTGCATTTACACCTAACCCGTAACCACTAAAAAGCTTTCGGGTACGAGTTTTACCCTACCCGATTAGGTCGGAATCGGACGGATATCCACGATTACGGATATTTTTGTCATCCTATTTGTAGGATTGGGAAGTTTGGTTGCATTTACACCTATGCTTTTAATGAGGCAACCAAACTTTAAAAAAAAATTCAATTTTTAATTAATGAATATGGCTGGTACTTTAGTGGGCATTAATCCCAGCTAGCTAGTTTCTGTGTTTCTCTTTAATGCATGGCCAAGGTGATTAGGACAAATGTCTCTTTCTGTAGTTTCCAATACACAAAGATATTGTTTGCTGTGTGATTGGGCAATTGCTAGTTATTGGATATTCCAATTCCCACATGCAAAATACCACCCACCGCCCCCACCAATAAAATTCACATTCAATTTTGTTTACAATTTACCTTTTAACACTTGTTCGCTTTGTTATTCTAAGTTCAATTCGAATTGACTACCATCAAGTTTATGGTTGAGTAGGCAAAAGAAGGAGATGTTTCTAGTTTAACCTAGATCACGAATTCAAAAATCAAAATATTTGCATAGGAAAATCGGAACAAGATTCCACCCCGATGAAGATTTAAGTATTACAACAAGACTCTATCATTACAATGGGAAAAAAAACGTTCATTCGAACAACATAAATTAAAACGATTGATCGATTAGTGAGTACTTTATAAGTGTTGGATCAGAATTGTACCATTAGAAATGTTTAAGTAATAAAGAAAGACTTTACTATCATTTTAACCCGAGTGAATATCATCAACATACACCTTTATATATAACCATCCATGTCATTAGTTTATCGCTCCAAAAATACAGGCATAGCAAATCCATGTCATTAGTTTATCAACATACACGGATACACCTTTATATATAACCATCAACATGTATTATATTATGCCTTCAATTCTGTCGACCCGCAAATCAAGAGGCCGACCATTTGATTCTCCGACCATCGTCAATATATGTCACACACTCACACTACAAAGCCAAAGGTAGGGTTTTTTTTTCTTTGAATTTGGTCGACCAGTGAAAATAAGCGATCGACCGTTGTTTTCCTTTGCATCGGTAGAGTTCTCTTGTGTGTCATATATGTCAACCACTTTCAAAAAATGTGTTTTTTTTTTCCACTTGAAAGCACCATAACCATACAAAATATTAAATTCCTTTCACTTTCATCCATTTTATCGTCCAATCTAGCTACCACCGATTGCACTGAACAACCTCAAAATTGAAATCCTTTTGAATCGAAACCTCAAATTTAACCTTAACCTCGTTGTATTAATGCCAGGGTGAAATCCCCAGAATTATTAATCCAACTTTTTGGTCCCCAAACGTTTCTACTACAATATGGCAACGGGCTGCATGTCCTATAAAACGTCTCATGCATGTCCTGGTAAGGTACACGCAACGTATCCTCGGCCATTTTAAAAGAAAGTGCAACCTTATTGGCATACGCAAAATTCCAATTGAGATGGAGTTATTATATATTGTTAGTTGCAACTCTCAGTAATATATAACCAACAAAACCTGAAACTTATATATATACAAGTGATAGGCTAAGCATTACATTTGTCAATATGGAATAATCAAGTTTAAGGAGAAGAAAAGGGTATACTAATTAAGAAATTAACGCGGTGGATTGTTTCGGTTCAACGATTAATAAAAATACATTGAAACAACGGAAAGACGTGTTTACGATCGAAAAATCGTGAACATCGTTCCAGACCAAACTCTTGGCAATCTAATTTTAATACATTATGTAAACCTCGTAACACTATTAAGTAAGCTCTCGATCCTCATAAGTAACTAAGCCGAGTTGAAAGCATGCAACTATAACAAAACAAAATCGACCTTTCTGCTATCTCGCTTTTCTTCTCCTTTGTTTACGATTAAGAACTCTTTGAAACCTTCTTCGAACCTCCCCTACTGATCTCTGTAATTTACCCCATATATTTTTTTCTATCTAACCAAAGAAACATGAATTTAACCTTTTCATTCTTTCTTTCTTCTCCTCCTCCTCCTAATACCTTTGAACTATTTTTCTTATCATGAGTCATCACATCAAACCATGAACAATTAACCAAAACAAAAAGGAAAGATGAGGAAACTTCAAAATGTGATCTAAAAGGGTTATATAGTGGAGAGTGGAGACCAAAGTGCCATAATTGCACTCTCAACCTACCCTACTAAACACATTCATGAGACACCATCCTCAACTGTCCTCCACCCCTTCTCCCAAATCCCAATCAATGCTTCTTCTTCCTCCCCCCAAAAAACCTATTATATATTCACTCCCCTTCTCTCCCAATCTCTTCCAAGTCTCTCATACCAATAAAAAAAAACAATGAAGACCCAAAAGATCTTCTCCTGCTTCTTCTTCCTCCTCCTCTCCATCCTCCTCATCATCACCACACTCTCCGCCGCAGCCCGGCCCGAACCCGAGTCCAGCAACGACGGAGGCGGCGGGTTCTTCGGGCCGGGGACGGGGATCCCGGAGTTCGGGAAAGGGTACTGGGGGAACGGGCCGGTCATGGGCGGCGGGTACGGGTCCGGGTTCGGGGGCCCAAAGGGCGGGTACTCGAAGAGCGGCACATACAGGCCGTCCGTGGTCTGCAAGGAGAAAGGCCCCTGTTTCAACAAGAAGCTCCGCTGCCCGGCCAAGTGCTTCTCCGCCTACAGCCGCTCCGGGAAAGGGTACGGCGGCGGAGGCGGCGGTGGAGGGTGCACCATGGATTGCAAGAAGAAGTGCGTGGCTTACTGTTGAGTGAAAGATGGCCGCCGCAGACGCGGGGAAGGATCAGGTGCGGGGATGACTATTTGCTTGTTGTAGTGCTACACTTCTATATCTAAGTATATATATATAGAGAGAGAGGTCTCGTTATAATACGTCTGTATGTTTAAACAATGACGATCTAGCAGCGGTTTTCCATGTTTGCTTTGTACTACTAGTACTTTGGATGGTGATGTAACGATATGTGTATTTTATATAAGCGATCGTATTATGTTATAATCTCGTAGATATAGACATGCATTATAAACGAAAACGATCGTATTATGTTATTAGTGTCAAGAACCAGTTGACCCCAATAACTCGAGTTGTTGGGAGAGGTTCAATCGTGAAACATATACCACAACACTAACAACCAGTATTTCGAGTGCACACTCGTGTTTCCGGTCATTGGACAACTAAACCGCTAGTTGATTGGATCGTGTGCATTAATTGTGTCTCGTTGTCGAAAAATCAGAAAATAGACGTCTCAGAAGCCGAGTGCTTTGTGTTCTTAATAAAGTTCTATATCGATTTTATTACTTGTTATTGCATCTCTGTTGATATCTTCTGCTAGTCTAGTTCAAATTATCGAGTGTTGTCGGACTTCACTTCACCAAAGCTGGCTTTTGGTAGGTTGATTCTCTCGCAGATGGTTGCAATAAATTTATGGATATGACCAATTGACCATTTCTGGACTTTGGGACGGTAGATTGATTCTCTTCACGAAAGCCGACTTTCTGGTAATCGCACTGATAGGCTAAAAACATTCAACAATGCGGGGGAAAAAAAGACCTAACACAAAGACGACGCCATAGCTAGAGTAACTTCACAAGGACTAACATTTTACGGACAACAACGAAAGAGAAAACTGAAGGACTGTTAATACGAACCGAGAGCGAGCTAACGAATTAACATATGAATCTCTTAAGCTAGAGGGAGAGCAGCAAGAACAGTGCAACATGATCCAAAATTTCGCTGGGGAATATCAAGGTACAAGTAGCAAGGAAATCAAACTTTCGCTCGGAAGGAAACTAATACTAGAGCAAGAAAATAAATCGATCGATTTTTTCGGTAAATATACAAGGACGCGAAAATCAATCCAACGAGAAATAGAATTGCAAAGGGTAATGAAAACTTTGTTGTCTATTCAGCAAAGAGACTGATTCTCGGATAAAGAACGGCAGGGGAAGCAAATCACTCTCTATAAAGGAAACATGTACGTAGAAGCTATGCGCATATACAACCCTAGAATCACATGGCAGTCTTCACCTGTTTAGTTCTCTGAAAGCGTCCGGAGATATTCGTATCATATTGCTGCCCTCACTGCTCCTCTTGCAGCCTCATGCCTGACCTCTGCTGCTTTACCGCTTCCGCGGAAGTACATGTATACTTGCTGTACATGGTTTGGATAAAAGCAAATGTGTTAAAAGACTTGACTAATTCAAAGGTGCCAGCCGTGGTGGTGGCAACGGAATTGAAATGGGGAGGAGGAGGAACAAGAATGAACCTGGAGAACCCAGATGCTGAGAATGATTTCAACACAGAAGAGGCCGAACCCGACAAAGTAGAAGATCTGTAATGGTACGAAAAGAATGGTTAATATGGATAAGGAAAGCAGAGAAGGGAGAAAGAGAGATCACAATTCGGGTCATGGAACTTACTCCAACCAGAAGGCTATCTCCTATAACGTCAATTGCGGCTAGAACACCACTGTTCCGAAAATATGGGATAAGAAAAGAGAAGAAAGTATCATCAGTGCAAATTGGGGGAAGTCATCTCCAAAGCTAGGATCATACAAGCAGCAATAAAGTTCTGCTTAGAAGGGTAGGTATGTTGGACACATACGTGAGGGATTTTCCTTTGAAAAAGATTGGGGGAGCAACCGCAGCAACAATGCAGAAGCCGATATGGATCTGTAGGACAGGAATGAAAAACCAGAAGTCAAACATTTGATTCTGGCAGGAAATGATATAACACGTTGAGATGGATGGTCACTAGTTATTACCAGATAGAAGAAGAAAAACCACCCGAACTTCAAAGCACTATCAGTCCTGCAAGATGGTTGTCCAAATACAGACTTCATTAAACGAATTCAATGGCACACTAACAAGCACAATCAGTGACATGGGGATTTCATTAAACACCAGCATATTGACCAGAATCTGGGAAATACTTACCGAAATGCCCGGTACAGTGGGCGGTACCACAAGAAATAACCTCCTGGAACTCCTGAAATGAAGTAGATAACGGCAAGAAACCATATCTTCACTCCTGCATAGCAAATAAAAATGTTAAGAATAGGAACTAGAAAACAACACATAGCATAAATAAAAGATGCTCCAAGATCAAGAACGGTAACCTTCATGCTTGATCCATGCTGTTGTTACTGCAATTACATTCCACAGAAGGCAGAGAGCCAATCCTGCAAACACACGAACATGGTTATAGATGATGGATGTTACAAAATCGAAGGAAGGGAAAAGGTAAAATGGCCACCTCGTTCAAAATAGACACATAAGCCAGATGAAACTAGCTTATGCTCGAGAAAAAAAAAAGGCACTTTGTGTGCAAAACAAAACCAAGAATATACAGACCTTAGAAGAATGAAGCTATATTCTTTTCATGAATTATAAAAAAGCGAGAATACATGAAAATGAAAGAATCGTACCTAAGAACGTTGAAAAAGCAACATACTGAATCCTTTGAAGATGAATTGGTATCTCATTTGATATATCATGGTGGATAATTGGGAAAAAAGGTGGCCAATTTTTCTCCTCCAGTTGTATTCCAGCTGAAAAATAATGCAAAATATCAACCAAACCTTAGAAAGTACTGAACGTAACAATAATAATTCACAAGAGCAAAATGAAGAAACCTAAACATTCATAACCCAATACAAGAATGATAGGATATATGCATGAAAATATGACATGAATTCCCTGGATTGAAATATCACATTTGAAATGATAAGACACAACAGAAAGGAAACATGTTACCTCTGGCCGCTGCTTCTTCCCGTCTTTTGATATCCTGCATAATAATAAGAACACAGAGTCAATCAACGGTACAGAGGGCTAAGGGAGAAGCCTTTCCGGTAGCTCTTATATAGTTATGAAGATTGGTCCAATCATTGTATCTCTGCATTCAACTATGCATACCTGTTCCCTCCTGCGAAGTTCAGACTCCTTGGCTTGCAGTTCCCTCTCTTTCTTTTTCAAGTCCTGCAGCAAAAAAACTTAAACAGTAAGGACCAGAAAACAGCACTGGCCAGTTTATAAAATGGCTTTACAAACCCAATGAAAATATCCAGCATATACCGTAGCTGAATCAATAGGAATGTCAACTGTTGCACCATGATTATAGCCGCCAAAACCTGCGGGCTCAGGAGGTAGCGGCGAAAGCCTTGAGTTTGCAGGCTTCTGGAAAGTAAAATGATATCAGAAAACTTGTAAGAGATCATTTAGGGAATCGCTGAAGTAGAAATTCAAGAAAATAAGACCAAATCTAAGAAACAACAGACACATTTGAAGTCACCACTACCTATCTTTATTTAATCGCACACATTATGTTAAGAAGAGCACAAGGAAGTACTATGTTTTCTCACCCTAAAATCACTTCGAGATTTATGCTTCCTGAGGTGTAAAAGACACCTCTACCATACTCGGGTTTCTCTGGTCCGCTTTTATCACACCTACCTACTGGTAATAATTTTCCGTTTAAGAAACAGAAGAATTTTATAAGGAAGAACACACCTCAACACCAAGCATATAAAGAATTCAAAACGAGACTACGACTAAATGCTTGCAGCAACAACTGCCTCGTCCTATGTATCACCTACTACACTACATCTGCCAAATCCAGGCCAACATGACACAATTCGGATCACAAACACTACAGTTGGACCTACCACTAGTTAAGTTCAATTGGCCCAATCCTCAGTCTAGTCTAGCATATCCATCGAACCTACACCAACATGACAACATTGGAACACAAATACTACAGGAGAAGGTGCTACGACCATTAAGTTAGCTATTAAAAACTGAGCAATGAAATTAAATATCGTCATCAAGACTTCCAAATGGTGAGATTAGACAGAGAACAACACCATCACTTCCCCCCACTCTGGTTCATTTCAGATTCACAATTCATTTTTGCCTCAAAACAGTGAAACTACAAAACCAGACGACCACCTCCTTCTTCCCCTTACTCTCCCAAATTGTCTCTTGACGAGAAAACCTAACAGTTCCACCGAGATGGATCCAGAAAGTAGAACACATTCTCAAACCAGAAGATGGCGATTTATTCTCCCACCAGAGGCGGAAAGAATCCGCGTACATTTCCCAGAACAACTAGTCGCACACGCCCGATCGCAGATCGGGGAAACCAAAAGCCTAAATCCACTAACGAATCCGAGATCTAAAACACCGTCCAACGAAGAGCTGCACAGTGAACAATCAGCTACAAAGACTTCCAAGTCAAATCTGGACCAGACGCCAGTACGACTTCGGATTCAGCCGCTAAACGAACCAGATTCAACCAAAACCAAGACCGCCCGTCGACCATAACAACTAGAGAGAAGTCAAACTACACCAAGCACACAAACACCGCTAAAACCCTAGGATAACCTCCCTCCCCGATTCGCATCAGTTCAAGAAACCGACGAATCTCCCGCCACAGCGCGGAAGAAGTACCAGCGATTTTGACTGTACGGGAAAACAGAATTCGAGCAAACCGGCAGAGGGAGTGAGAGAGAGAGGAACTTACTGAGAACGGATTCACCTCCTCTTCCTCGAACGGGTTGGGGTCGAATCGTCCGGCCATGGCGCGAACGGAAGCGAGATGCGGCGAAGAAGAGAGAGCGAGAGAGACTTGGGAACGAAGCCAAGAGAATTTGAGTTTTCGAAATGGAGGCGGAGTAGACTAAAACGAGAGCAGATAGGTAGAAATTGGATTCAAAAGTAAAATGAAAGTTCTTTTGGGTCAGAGAAATTCTAGAGAGAGAAGATTGCGGTGTACGATTACTCGTCGTTCGTCGTTAGTTCGTCACGGGGCCGGGCTAGAGAGAGAATTGAATTGGTTTTTCTCGGACTTTTGTTTTGGCCAGCCCACTCGGTGGGAAACCCGGAAAAAGGAGACAAAAATAAAAGGGATATGGATTGAGAAATTTCAAGAGGAAACGACGGGTTGAGTGTGACTAAAATTTACCGTTTTACAGCGGAAATTTACATCTTCTAGAGATTTTAGTGCATAATTTAACCTTTTGGTAGATGAGCGATTAGTTCAATATTTCTATTATTTCTAAGTAACTACATAAAAATGGAAAATTAGGTTGGAATCACAATCGTTTAGATGATTTCAATAAAAAAAAAAGTCTATACAAATTAGAATCTCATACAGAATGTACACGTTAAAATAAAGGTAAAATTTTGTATAAATTCGTAACAAAAAATTGTTGGTAGCACTTCCTCCCAATTAAGTAGAGTCCCTTAGACTCTACATTCATGAAAAACAGAATGACGAGAATCTACTTTGGAAGTTATTTTTGTAGTTCATCATCATCGGAGAGAGAGGCAACCAGTGCAAGAAGGAACTTCAAGAGATGGCAAAACCCATGTTGAAGAAAGGAGCTAAAGGAACATTGAATGATGTCAATTAATCTTCGATTGTGCACTTAAAATTAAGGGACTGTTTATCTTCTATATGCTACGGCCTTCGATAGTCAGTGTAACTTTTGTTTCGTTCCAGATAAAATAAGTTTTTATGCTATTTGGTACTCTTCTAATATTAAATCTGACCCTTTCTAAGACAATTATATAGCTTTTTCTACTAAACTAAAAATACATATTGACTTTCTCGCAATATCAATTTCCGATGTGCATATTACATTTATGTTCGTGCATATTATATTTATGTTTCGAGTGTCCTTCCTACATAAATTTGAACTACAATGGTGAGGCAGTAAATTCTTTTTTCTTGGGATAGAAAAAAGAGGGGTGAATCTCACTTGTTTTCTTATCATAAAAAATGTCCTCAAATGATGAGAAAACATAATAGGAAGATTCACCAACGAGAAAAAAAAAATTATGCGTCTTTCCTCCGACACCAAATGAAGCCCTTCACTATATATATAAGCGGTGATTCCTCGGTATTAATGTTTCCAATCAATGTGGTATCTAAACAAAACATGCATAAATGTTGTTCAACAATCTTTATTTTATGTCATGATGGGTAGACTAAATATGTTGAGCTCAATCCTAATGATTGGAAGTTTGTTGTGTCTTTACTCTAGTTAGTACCGTTCTTGATTAATTATCGAGCCAAGAAACAACCTTGTAGTGAAATACATTAGCTCATGAATGAGCAACTATGTAATAATAGAATGAGTAATTGAGTTTAGTTGGATAAAAGATATGGTCATGCGCTTATTTTAAATATCAATGGATGAAAATATAATCGAAGAAAAAAAAAAAGGTGAAAGTGGAGTTAGAGAAGCTCATTTGGCTAAATCCTAGCTTCCTATACATTCGTGTTGGAGACGAGGCCACGAGCTCTACTCTATTGCTTTAGTGGTTAATTATCCTTGTTGTCTGTGTGTCTCACTGTCTTCTTCAATATCTCGGTCGATCTTTCTCGGAGCACAATTGGTGCAAGCTTTCACAAAATGCCACCAATACAAATAGGCAAATTGCTTGCACCAACGAGTGACCCGAAAAAGGCAGACCAAACATTGAGTTCAGACTCCGAAAAATCTAAGTTTAAGTTGCCGTGGAAACTGAACAAGTGGGATGTATATAAGAAAGGAAGGAAAGAGGAGAAGTTGTGAAGAAGCTGAGCTACCGATGTGGTATTCGATTCATGTATGGATTGGTGGGATCCTTCCTTCTTAGAGGGGAGGAGGCTACATTTTTTTTTTTTTAAAAATAAACTATACAATGGCGGCATTTGATTCCCTTTTTATTTTCCAGGATAAATTTCTAAACAGAGCATCTCAGTGGAAACTATAAAGTATAAAGCTTCTAGAGGCTTCGATAACAGTCGAAACTAATGATATTATCATTTGACCGAACCCTGATTCGCAAAAAGAACATTATCATTGTTGGGCTAGCTACTCTCTCGATCAGGGTTCGGGAAGGTGTAATTTCGCGTACGCTAAGTCGGTCGTGCCTAGGCAGAGGCACTGACAAGTGACAAAAAACCGCATCGCCTAGGTCCTAGCCTCACAATAAGGCGTTTGTAGAGCGCCTGAAAGATGCTTAGACAAAAACAGATCCACTAAATCGGTGTGAGGCGTGATTAATCGAAGTGAGTCACTCTTTAATTGCACTGGTATATCGATGAATAAAAAGAAATTGTACCTAATCTTCACAAAATGACGTCATCTCTAGCTGCCATGTATTCAACGCATCCTTCACTCGTTCCTCGAGTTGGAGTTGCAATTGCAGGTCATGACTTATTTTTTATTATTGTCGATGGTAAATTATTAATATTTAAGATTTAACTAGGTAAAAAAACATGCTATCGTATTATTATTTCTACTACAAACCACTGAACAGAGGATAGGCAGATGTCGGCGTTTTACCACTTCGCTTCTTCCATATTTACCAATCTTCCACAAACTTTCTCACCACAGTTCACAGTAGCTCTGCTACCAACTAACTTGAAAACGCAAATTTCAGCCACAATGTCACCAATGCACAATAAAACCTGATAGCAGCTTGGAGATATCAAGAAAATATGATTTTACAAAACGTCAAACCACCTCTGTTCGTGTTGAGATTAAGGTATAGTGCATTTAGTAGATGATGGGGGCTTATATAATATATACAACCACAATATTCTTGGTCGAGATTGAAAGTTATTTTCTGTTTTAAGATTTCGTTAGAAAAGAATCTCAAAATCACGAACCATAACAAGTAATTTGGACAACAGCTTGCATCCAAGTGACCCCTAAAAACACTTCTACTAAGGATTGTTTGGGTTGAGGTTCAATTTATAGGGGCCAACTGGTTAGATGAACCGACTAATTTAATACGGTACTATCAAGTATCTGACTCAACCATATCAAATGATCGACACAACGCTGTTTTGTAGGAAAGCTCGCTCATCACACCAAGCTAACGCCTATAATAAAAAAACCGAACGGCTAAATGTCACAACCATTGTTTTACTATTATCACCCTAACTTATAATACAAAACTACTAAATTGTCTTTTATCAATTAAACCTAATTCAACAAGACAAATAAACTCTAAAATCCCTAATTTCCTTCAACAACGCCAACCTCCTCTCGCCGAACACCATCTGACGCCGTTTCTTCTCCTCGCAAAAAATGTCTATTATTTACAAAACGCAAAAGTTATGACTTATGACTCCTTTGAAATTGTGATGACAAGCAAAGATCGAATGGCCAACAATCACGCGCAATGGTCAACCAATCGAAATACAAAATAAGAAAAGTCACTTTTTTACCAACAACAATTAGACTAGGATTTGTTGGGCCACATCCAACAATGCAACAACCCATACAAAAAGAGAGAAAAAAAATATATGAATCGTACAATATGTGACTAAAAAACTGTTTTGAACTACAATTGTGAAGCAATAGGTACCATTTTCGTGGAACGGGGAATCGGCGAATCTCAATAACTAATGTTCTCAAAAAAGAAAACATAATAGTAAGATCCACCATTCCTCCGGGACCAGGAGAAAGGAACTTCTGCATCTTTTGAAAAGCACCTGTCCGATCCATTCACTGTATATATATTGGCGGTGATTCCTTGGCATGAATGTTTCCAACCGATGTGGTATTTAAGCAAAACATGCATACATGTTCAAAAATCTTCATTTTAAGTCACGATGGGTTGTTATAGAATAGAAGACCAAAATTTATTGGGTTCATTCCTAATGGTTGTAAATTTGGTGTGTCTCCGTTCGTTCTAGGTAGTACGGTCCTTGACGATGTGGTATTATGCTGTGGGTGGGAAGTGAAACCATGATAGCCAAGGTGCTCATTATTTGGTTCAACTCTGTTCATGTTGTGGAAGTTTGGATGGTTGTGGTAGTTTTGATTTGATCGACTCCTGTGGCAGTCGGGCTCAGGGGACCAGGTCTCTCCGGTCGCCGATCCTAACGAGTTGCGGCCTGTCCATGGTAGCATGGCAGACGCGTGAGGAGGTTGTCGATGTTGATTTGGACTGAGGTTGTGAGGCGTCAGGGAGACTCCGGCGGCGCGTCAAACCGAACCGAAATTATGCATATTGGGTCCCCCGAATTCGGTTCGGTTTTTTCATACAAAACCGAAATAGTGAGGTTAGCTTGTATCTTCTCTTTTTTAAATTATTTTTCACCCCTAATGTAACACAATAAATATGCATCATCAATGATCAAATCAAACATTTCAACACATAAGTCATAAAAAACTAACATGATTCAAATATTTAAGTCTCATAATAAATAGAAACATAAAAATCCATCATTTAAAGCTTGCCATTATAATAATTCGGTTTTTCGGAAATATTTTTTTTTTTAATCATTCAGAAAAGAACCAACCAGAGCAACTAGGTCAAGTTCATTGTAAACTAGAGCAAGGAAAAGAAATGTTGGGGTGGTTTATTTCAAAACTGAAAAAATTTGGCAAACTAAGAAATGTTGGGCAAAAGCTTTATTTTGTAAAAGCTTGGTGAGATTTGAAAAAAAAAAAATTCCCTATAAAGATGGCACTACCAATTCCAACATTGGTGCCGTCCCAAAGAAAATAATAATTTTTCAAACACCCAGCTAACTTCTACAAAATATAAAAATTACCCGCAAGTAGGATGCGACTTTTTGATTACGAGCTGCTTCGGGACAAATACATAGGAAGAAAGGAGCGGGCTGATCTCTGTCTTTAACAATGTGGTATTGTTGCGGGTGGGAACCATGAAAGCCAATGTGTGCTCATTAACAATGGGTGCAATTGTTTGAGAGCGAACGAACTTCTAATTCACTCTGACCGAAACGATTCTCTTCCGCTGGGGACAACATCGCTCTATCAACCAAACCTCTCTTCTTCGTTCGACCCCGTTGCCCTGTATGATGATGATGATTGTCCGACGGTACTTTTGAATCAACGTACTTCAAAAGTAACTCGACTGGTAGCGAACAAATCCACATACTGAGAATTCGATCCAATTCAGGGGATACAGGTTGGAACCAAAGTATTATTTACATTAACCACCGCCTCTTAAAATAAGAAGAGACGTTCCGATAAAAAAAAGAAGAAGATAGGATTGGATACATGGATTGGATCATGGATATTTCTGATATCTAAATATTGGATCAATATGTAAATTTTGAAAAATATAGGTACTAAAATGTCATAATAAAAAAATTTAGATACAAAAAATACAAAAAAATATAGGTATTAAAAATGTAATTTGTCATTTGCATATTTATATAAATCCAATGCAATTGAATTTGGATCAAATGTACAAATGAATCCACCATTTTCTAAGACTCTAATACCATGATTATCTGTTTTGTGCGACTTACTGTCTACCAATACCACATTGCATGGGTTGGGTAAAATAAGTAAATAGACCCCTAATATTATCGATATCCCAATACCAAATACCAAAATTTTGAATATCGAATTACCCCCTAATGTCAATCTCAGTCCCAATTCCTAAATAATTTCGATATCCCAATCTCAATCTCTAAAAATTTCGATATCCCAATCGGTATTATCGAATACGAAATTAATTTCCTTTGCCATTAATGTTTAAATATATAAATTAGATTTGATTGTTTAATTTACAACAAAGAGACTATGCAAAATGTCTTGAGTTTGCCTAGAGCTAGAACAAGAATAAGGAGAAGAGAGGAGAGGTGACAACTCAAATTCTTAACACTCGTAATCTATAATTCAACGAATAGGAGGCTGGGAGATGACTAATACTAGTGTTTTCTTTTTTATGTTATGAAAATAACAAAATATTAGATGCGAGAAGAAAGTGACTTAAACTGAAAAGCCAAAATTGAGTTGGACGAGGACTTGTAATTTATGAAAAAGTGGAAATGACCAAAAGTTGTGTACTATATTTCATTAATTTTTAATTTTTATTGTTTCTCGGTATTTTGATATATTTCGGTATATACCGATTCCAATCCCGAATACCGAATAGCACTCCAAAATAAATCCCAATCCCGATCCCTAAAAAATTAATCGGTATTCGATAATACCAAATAGTAATAAGTTCTGTACGGTATTCGGTATATCCCAAATACCGGTACCAAACTTTCATCCCTATATATGGGCTACCTGTACAAAATAAATGGGCTGTATCTCCCGCTAACAAACCTAACCAAATAAGAAATTCAGCACCAATACTCAAACAAGATCATCACCAAACCTTGTTTTCCATATCCTCTAAGGAACCCGACACTAATATTTGCAGCACTATAAATAATTCACTTAAGAGTTTAGATAGTACTCTAGTAGTAGTAGTAAGCATGTCGTGGCTCATCCATCCTGTATATAATTTTTCTCGACTTCTTGAACATCAATATATGTCGAATCCGCACAGCCCCTCGACTCTAATCTCTTTAGATATTCCATCAGGTATCTAATCTCCACATCTTCCTGCAATTGCCTGGCCTCTTCAACCCCCTTGCCCTCATTCCGACACAAATCGACTTTCTCTCGTACTTTCTCGTCCATTGTCGGGAAAAAGTCATTTGAGGATCAATGTGCACGGAAAAGCGAAAAACCAAACCAATCAAAACGAACTCGCCCATGATTATAGAAAACAACTTACGGGAATTACTACTGGTTAATTAATAAGCAGAATCTCATGTCATATACATAAATAATAATCGACTTAATTAGAAGTTATGACTACTGGAATCCCAAATTACTACTATCAACGATGAACGCGTTCTGGAATTCATGTATCGTCCTCTTCAACATGCAACCAGAGTTAGAACAATTCGTTTTAGTTCACTAATGATAACAATGAGTGCAACATAATCATTTAGGTCTAACTTTTTTTTACGATACAAATTGAATATGTACCTTCAACGCGTTATGGTACAAGTTAAACTTATACTTGGAAGCACTAATACTTTAAGAGCATAGCAGATGAGCTCTAATGTTGCCATCAAGCATCATATAAGCCATTTGCACACAAGGTTAAGTCATTCATCATCATCATCATCAGTTGTTCTTACAGATAGATTCTTTAGATGTTATTTACCAATCCCAGAAATCCAAAATCGCATTCTCAATCTCCAAACCCCTTGGTTCAATGGCTAAAGAATGACACAACCAATCAAGGCAGGGAAGACAAACTTACCTTCGAAAAAGTTGGAATGGTGTCGGAAGAAAACGTCCCTCATGCATTTAGGAATTGAATCATCCGACCTTAGGAACTCGATGTCTTTCGTATCGGCGGGGTAGAGATACAACATGTCATCAGCAAACCCCGACAACCTCATCTGCAGGATCATTTTTCTTATGGCAAGAAGAGCGTCCCTGTCACCTTCTCTTTACTTGTTCTTCAAGTCATTCAGCTCATCAAACCAACCTATCATGCAATCAAAAACCCAGAAAGATCTGCAAATTGTAATTCCTCCTTTTTTCTTCTGATCTCATCATCAGTCTCATTCATGCCTTTTGATTTTCACAGCATATCATTTAATTACCTGGATCGTACAGCCTCGGTAATTAAGTGCATACAAAAAGCTAAGTGCAAGATTAGGGGACAAACACTGGCTTCTGCAACCCTAAACAACACATTCCAAAAAGAAAGAAGAGAGCCACAGCCGGCAGGAGACACACAGAAAAACTTGGCTTAACCATTAAAGTCATTTCTATACAGAAAAAAAGCCTTACTTTCAGAACCCTGATGGCTTAACCATAAAATGCAATACAGCCTCCTCCCTGTCTCTCCAAAATGCAATTGACCAAACGACAATGGCCCTCCCTTTGATTCTATTCGATTCAAAGAAAATTTAAACTACGATGAAGCAGCAGCAGCAGCAGCAGCATTGTGGGTGGTGACATCCTTGCTGGACCGGTTGTACTTCATGTGACTCTTCACCAGCTGCCCTGCCGCGAGCGCCGACATAAGCGACAACTCGCCGGCCAGAACAGACCCCGCAACTACCGTCGCCAGTCGCCTCGCGTTCGCCCCTGGCGCCTCGTAGCAGGCGCCCTTCACCCCGAGCAGGTTCAAGCACGCAGCTTGCGACGCGAGCTGCGTCCCACCTCCCACCGTTCCAACCTCGATGCAGGGCATGGTGACCGAGACATGGAGATCCCGCCCGTCATTCGTACTCTCCATCAGAGTGATGCAGTGCGAGCTCTCGACGTTCTGCGCCGGATCCTGCCCCGTGGCCAGGTACACCGCGCTCACGATGTTGCTGGCGTGAGCATTGAACCCGCCAAGCGCCCCTGCCATGGCCGAACCAACCAGATTCTTGTCCTTGTTCAGCTCAACGAGTGACTGCACGCTGGTTTTCAGTACCTTGTTCACCACGTCTCCTTTGATCACGGCCTCACACACCACCGACTTCCCTCGGCCGTGTATCCAGTTCACAGCTGCAGGCTTCTTATCCGCGCACAAGTTGCCTGATTTCATTTTTTTGCGAGGTCAGTTTTGAGATCATTTTCTTTTATAAGACAACAGAAACAATCAAAGAAAGAGGGATGAATGGTTTTTCAGTTACCGGAGATGGCGACGACCTCCATGTCAGGGAAGAAATCAGCCTCCTGGAGGAAATCCAGCACATTCTGAACACCTTTGGAGACCATGTTCATCCCCATGGCATCCCCAGTGCTGCAGCAGAATCGAATGTAGACGCTCCTCCCGGACAATGTACAGTTCGCGCTTTGCAGCCTGGCGAATCTGCTGGATCTGTTGAAAACCATGGAAACCGTGTCGAAATTGCGGGGATCCTCCAGGTAGAACTTGAGCTGTGCGGCCCTCGCGATGTTGGGAAATCGAACGACGGGCGCCCTGGTCATCCCGTCCTTGAGGAGGACGCTGCTGGCCCCGCCGGAGAGGTGAATCGCCTTGCATCCGCGGTTGGTGCTGGCGACCAGGCAGCCCTCGGTGGTGGCCATGGGGACGGAGTACTCGGTGCCGTCGAGCAAAAGTGGGCCGGCGATTCCGACGGGGATCTGGACGTATCCGACGGGCATCTCGCAGCACTGACCTAGAATTGAATCGTAATCGAATCCCTCGAGGGGGAGGCCGGAGAGGGAGCGGCCGGTGATCCTCTGGAGGGCCTCGCGGCGGATGGCGGCGGCGCGCTTGCAGTCCCCCAATTTGGATTCGAGGGAGTAGGAAGGTACGGTGCCGGAGACGACGGATTGGACGAGTTCCTCGTCGTTTTGGGGAAGTAATAATTCAATTGGGGCGGCGGCGGCTAGGTCAGGAGTGGCGGCGGGGATTGCGCAATTCTGTGATTGGGGGCAGGCGGCGGCGAATCCGCCTTCAACAGCGACGTCGTCGTCGGGGCGGAGGAGGAAGGACTGGACGAATTGGATGCCGAAGAAGCCGAGGAGGTAGACGAAGGAGGCGAGGAAGGCGAGGAGGGCGAGGATTTCGGAGAAGGTGAGGACGTGGAGAGGGGTTTGGGTGCGGATCTTGTCACTCCAGCGGCGGAGGAGGAAGTAGACGGCGGAGAAGAAGAGGACGAGGAAGAGGGCGTTGGTGAGCTGGAGTGGGAGTGGGAGGGCGTCGGAGGCCCTGCGCTGGCTGTCGTCTTCTTGGTGGTGGCCGGCGGCGGAGTGACGGTGGAGGTTACTGAGGGGCTGGGCAAGTGGCTTTTTGGTGGATCGGCGGCGGGGATCCATTGTTCCGGCCGGCGGGGAAGGAAGAAGGATGCTCTGTTGGCTGTTGGAATTCCACAACAACTCAAACTCAGCTCTGCCGGCAACTTCCCTTCCGCCCCCGCTCCAATTTATGCTGTCGAGGGAACTGACTCTCAAAAAACAGTTCAAATTTTCGTTTTGTTTTTATATTCATTGGCGTTCTGTCCTTTTTAATAATTTCTTTTTCATGAATTGGCGTTCTGTATATTTTTTCAATATACAAAAACAAAACTCATGTTAGTTTTGGGGGGTCAGATTTTGACTTTTAGGACTGTCTCATAATTAGTCACGTTTTTATGCAGGTTTAATCTTTGAACATGTTTTATTTATGACTTGAACTTGTTATTCCCAACAATATTTTTACTATTGTTTTTTGGCAGCCCCGGGAATTAAACATCTTTAATATATATATTTTAGGATTGATAATAAAAAATATATAAAAAGGGTCGTAAATACTAGGACTGGGAAACGGTGCGGTCTGGTCTATACGGTCTATGGTCCAGACCAAGAGGTTGAAGTATAGACCACAGACTATACGGTCCGGTCCAGACCACGTCTGTGCAGTTTTGTTCGGTCTGGTCTGGTCTAGATAGACCACACTCAACGAAAAATGAACAATTTGTTTCGTCAACCACAAAAAAAAAATTGAACCAATAACCAAGAAAAATAATTGTTATTTGCCTTAAAACATTAATACTAACATTCATGAATAATTTTGGTACCCTAATTCTTAGTACATAACAAAGATTTAAAGTAAAAGCATCTCAACTTGCACCATAACGTCATAAAACATTAACATAATGTCATATTGAGACATGATTATCTCTACTCTCTCGTTAAATGTGGTTGTGAATGAAGGACAGACGAGATTCACAAAATTAAGGTTGAGACTTGGGTGTCGTTGTGTGAATTGGGAGAGTGGTCAAATGGGCTGTTAACACGTATTGACAAGTCGGTTGGGTCCACGGTTTGGTCGGGTAAACCGCGGTCTAGACCAGATCAGACCAAGAGATCAAAACATAAAATAATACAGACCATGGATCAGACCAGACCATACTTAACGATCTACGGTCCGGACCAAACTGTACGATACGGTTTGGACCACGGTTATTTTAACGGTCTGGTCTTTTTTCCCAACCATAGTAAGTACGTGGAACAAGAGATGGGCGGTTTCATATTGTTTAGGCTTTTGCTTCGACCAAGGAAGGCTACTGGGGTTCTAGCGATGTGGTAGTTCAGCTCAGAATGCTGATCAAGCTGGAATGCTGTTTTACCCTGTCGAAGATATCCGACGCCAAGTTTTGGGCGAGAATCGCGAACGCGCGTCGAACGTTATCGATCTCTCGCGCTTCCAATGGAAATCTCAGAAAAGGGCGATGCAGGAGCCTATACTGAAGATGGTGGATACAGGGAGAGGCAGCGAACCATAATATAAAGAGACTATAACAGCTTTCTATGAATGTGCAACCAATGAAATAATTAAGTGTTCTAAAAAGGAGGCCCCAAGAAAAGAAGAATAAAATCTACACATTGACTAAGTTACAGGTGTGGTTAATTCTCCGACGACGATTTTAAGGTCGAGAAGACGACGACGGGCTAGTGATGGTGGCTACGTTTCTCCTTATCGCGCCTGTCGGAGATGGGTTTGCGGCGTCGGATACTTCTAAAGGGATCAACCCAGAACTTGTCTTCTTTAACGGCTTTGTTCCAACGGTCCTTGAATATTTGAAGCTCCCATGTCGACTGCCTCCTAATCTGTTCGATGCACACTCGGAAAAATGAAACACTGTTAACTCACCGAGATTATTCGTAGAGATTATGTTACTAAGAGAGGATTAGGAGATGATTGAGTCTCCTATACCTCCATCCGAGGATCCAAGCCTCCACTGTGCCTCTGCGAACACACGGAAAGAGAGATAAAAAAGGGACAGAAAAGGCGTTAATCTTTCGCGTTTGAATGGGGATCATTTGAAGGGACGAGAGAATGTGGTATCTGTGGTTGAGCTTACCTTGCTTGATTCGTCATTACTCGAGCTCTGCAACACAGAAACCAAAGGAAAAGACAGGAACTGAGATTATGTCAAATCAGTTAACAACGACGAAATCTATGATCTTGAGGTGGTTTAAGAGTGAAGTACCTTCTTTCCACTCCCACCCAACGATTGTATTCCTTTGTGAACAACGTACTCTCGATCAACCACTCCTACCTTCTTCGTCCGGTCCCCCTGTGTGATGAACTCACATCTTTCAGTCCACAATTTTAGAAAAGTAAGGATTAGCCATAACTACAATGCCGTTTTCATAAGGCGACTAGTTTTGTCTTGCCTAATCGGCATTCCAGCATTAAAACGTTTATCAGATCGAAGGAACCACAGAATAGACATTCCAATAAACTATGGCAAGAAACAACAATGTAGAGGGCAAATGTCAAGAAGAGAATTGGAAAATGTATCCTTACTTGTGCACAGTATCCAAGTTTCATATCCATCCCCCATCCATGCACGAGATCATTCTGGTCCAAGAGATAAAAAGGGACATTTCAGAAATGCATTAATACAATTGTTTCAGCATTCTTGTAGAGTGCAAACTTGCGACCTTCAGTCTTGAACTAAACTGCCTTATGTTAGATCCACAATATGACTCTGCATTCGGAACCTTAAAACAAGTGACACTATTTACGCATCAAAACTCCAGTTGCAGCAGGTTATAAGTTTCTCCACTTCGTGTACCAGACAGATGGACACACAAACAAAATTAACTGTATCCAGTTTTCGTTACCTGTATAAGATGCCAGGCACAATACCAGGCAGATCTTGAAAAGACTGGAGCCATTCCTTCTACAAATCTGCAGTTGTAGCATAGCAGTTTTATAGATTGATTAGTTGCCCAATCATTTCAGAGTACGATATTATTATATTTCTGCAGCTAAATAGATATGCAGGAAGATGATGGTCCACCAAATATATATGGGTCAACTTTTTAAAAGTGCACATATTTGTGAAAAATGATTGCTAGTGATTTCCAGAGAATTCCTATCTACTTAACGTTTCTCTCGAGGATGCATTCAAGCTTTCACCGTGCCAAGAGCAAGAGGTAATAGTGCCAACACAAATGAAGTAAATGAACATTGAACATTCCAAAAGTTCCTACCCTGTACACGGTGGTCCATCGCTGGAATCCGAACACTTAACTTTGCCTCTAACATCATAGACTCTCCTACAGAATAAGAGAAACGAAGTGAGCATCATAAACAAGTGCAGTTCTAATCAACACATAATGAAGGCTACCACCCATTCACCTATGAAACTTCTTCATTCTCGCTCGGATGGTGATCCTATGGTGTATCTCTGTAGAATTTGGGTCCAGAGCGGGCTGAGATATTTCCAATCCTTCTGACCTCACAATATCCAGGTACCTAGTGAAAATGAATAAATGCCTACATCAGTTGAGTTTTCCAGTTAGCAAAGGTACATTAACATAACATGCACAACTAAAACCAACCCTCCAATGACCAAAAGACGGTTGCCTCTCAATGCAAGAGGTTTTTTAACACGAGAAAGTGCACTAAAACATAACAAGGGGCGGTGAATTCTCTAACAGAGCAATAAATTTACCTTGCTGGATTAAAATGCTGCACGCCCAGGTCTTCGTCCCAGAGGAATATGTAATCATATATAGAGACGACAGCTGGATGCAGAAACCGCTTTGCAAACCACCTGCGGACACAAGTCCAAATCAAGCTGAAACACCCTACTGAAATGGGGTAATTATAAGCACAAGCCGGTTGATAAATGACCAGTAGGCAGAAGCTAAAGCTTCTTGATTCAGATTAAGTCAATTTGACCACCTAGACATTCCAAGCTTCATGACCAGAATTCATGTTAAGAGATTATATCAATTTCTTGGGAGCTGGTTGCCAACAATTCCTTACAACCAAGTACCATGTACCAGTAACACTATGCAAGTTACGCTTTATGCTCTACACTCAGCCCATGGAAGATCATACAACATGCATAGATGTATCCTTTAATACAGAAGCATCAAGGTACTGATGTTGATTTTCGCAAGTCATGTAACTTCAGAAAAGAAATAAAGGAACTTCTGCCAGTGGCAACTCACCATTTCGTTTGATTATGAGCAACTATATGTATAGCTTTGCTACTCCATTCAAGATCCCACCATCCGTCAAGGTTACCATCATAATGGAATAGCATAACTGTAAAATTTTCTGGAAGAAACTGAATTCACTGAAGTTAGACATTATACTTGCAATCCAATAAAAAGTTTAAATAACGAAACCAAAAAATGCAGTACCTTTTGGACAACAGTGTCAACGTTACGCTTCTGTGTAATGCCAACGGGCATCGCCAGCAAGTAGCGACGATTAGAAGCATCAACCTCTGTCTGAGTGAACACAAAGACCAAAAAACAGTTTAGGCACACAATCCCTTGATTCATACAATGGCTGCAACGGAAAAGTAGATACACTAATCCACAGCTACTCAGAACTTTTCACTCACAAACATCTAGAAACAAGGCGTAAAAGAAACTTATGTGAAAAGAGGACTTGAAAAACCAACCTTTGACCTCGAACTACTCGACCATAAAGGCTTCAACTCCATATCCGAGTTCGGTCGTACTATACCACGGGGCAGATTATTCAACAACCCAGACGCAAAAGCTGATGCCTGAGTAAAAAATACCGAAAACCCCTTAGCTAACCATGCAATGAAGGCCGAGAACAATCAGGCCACAAAATTTGAACAATTGGTGTAAAATCGAAGGTGTAAAGCAGAAGTATACCAGGCGGTAACCTCTTATTAGTAAAGTATAAGTCTTAACAAGCTCACGACTTTGAACAAAGCATCCAGAGGCGCACAAATAGTTACCTTTATCGAGTCAAAGGGATGCATTTTCACTTCCATCTGGACCACAGTAAGAGAAATGGTCAGTAAATCTTTCCCACAAGCATCACTAATCAATAAAGAAGAACCAATAAGGAAGGTGCTGCAAACGTAGAGATTGCATAACAGTACCAGACCACAAAGATTGCATCTCGTTCAACATAAAGGCAGTAAATAAAGATAAAAACTAAAACGACCTGACTATAGTTACTAACATAATCCAGTCATTAACTTCAAAAGCAAGTTTTCCTCCCCCCACTCCATCAATCAATCTCTTCCATGCAAAGCAACCAACCACCATAAACAAAGCAACATATTGCCCACAATCCATGGCTGCCCAATTCAGAAAAAAAAACCACACCTCCAAAACACGTACAAATAAATGAATTAAGAGAGTTGGACGCACCTCCGTGTGCTCATACTGAAAAAGTGTGGTCCTATACACAATAAACAACATGCCTGTACAAAGAGCCACCATCATGGGCAGCTGCGTACCCTTGAACCCACATTTCCCCTGCATAAGCACATTCAAAAAGAAACAAATAAGACCCAATTTGCAAGAAATCAGAATCAATATTTCTTCCCCAAATCCAATTGGCTCCCATTTCCATTACCCCATCGAATATGGCGTTTCGTTTGAGTGATTTCCATGGCCTGAGAGACGTCATTGACAGCCAGCCAGCCTCACTCCAGATTGGCCTTTCCCACCCCTTATGTCGTTATCATCACAAAGCTGCAGCACCAGGTTTCATACCAAAATGCAAAAGCAAGCAATCAGATCATTCTCCCTGGAAACGCAAAATAATTAGCAAGTTAATTAAGGATCAATTTAAACTGGGTGGAAGAGAATCCAAACAAGGAAAGAAACCCAAGTTCCACTGTGGAGACATTAAAGACGAATTCATTTCCTGCCTGAGAATATTTCGGCCGAACGCCATGAAAAAAAAAGGAAAGACAACCAACAGAAAACGGACAATCTCCGTTCATGGAGATCTCCACAGGGGGAGCGTATCCGCCGATTCTTCCACCTGAACGGAAGCGAATTCGGTCCGCCAACCACCGCGGCGGATCTTTTCTTCTTTGGCGCGCGAATTAGAACAAGGAAGCAAACAAAATATCGATTGAGGCTAACCTTTCTTTCCCCTTTTTTTTTTACAAATTCCTCTCTTCTCCCCTCGGATGCGGCAGAAGAAGAGACTCCGTCGCACAATGGACTTGAAGGAGCACACGGATTGCTGTGTCGGCAGGGTGTGATCAGCGGCGCATTGCTGGCCGGCGGCGGGCGGTCGAGCGTAGAGATTGGGTAGGGAGATCAACGGAGAGAGAGAGCGAGAAGTGGGAGGAATCGAGGAAGAGGTGGAGCAACGGAGGAGAGAATGGGGAAAGGGAGAGAGAGTCAGTCCAAGGAGACGAAAGTGGCGGAATCGTCGCGTTTTAAGGGAACAAAGGCCGAACCTTTTTGGTTTTCTGGATTTAATTTTCGTTTCTTTCTTTCTTTTTTCTTACACCGTTTTTAATGGGGGATTTTTTTTTTCTTTCGGTATTTTTCTTTCTTCTTTCAATCTAGTTTCCACGTGGATGGTAATGTTAAGTTCATACAATCTCTGCTTAATATTGTTAGATTAAGCACACATTTTAGACGTGCTAATGTCTATACTGATGAAATAAATTTCAAGTCCTAATTTTCACACCATTATGATTAATCACAAATGTAGTTTTCAAAGATTCGTCGTATTAGCAGAGGTGGGTTAAAACTTACAAATGTGAATCGAGTGTGTAAATGAGCTATGAAAAAAGTATGTAGAAATTTGTGTGTGTATTGATGGGGTTGTGAGAGTTTAAAAAAAAACTCACATTGTTTAAGACGGGTAAAAAATAATGAACACGATTGGTTAATTGTGATATGGAGAGATAAAAGCTTACAAGTAATATTTCAACCCGATTTTTGGAATGTCACTAGACAACATGAATTGTTATCCACTGATTCAAAACATATGGATACGTCATTTGAGTTGACTATTTGGCAATAATATTTACAATGTAGCGACTTTAGTTTTAATAAATGAAAAATACAATTTAGTGAGCTAAGTAGTGAAAAATCCGCGCAACAACACTTTGGAAAAAATTGTATTAAATGGTTGACTAATTAAAAATTAGGAGTTGTTGTAACTTGTAAGAAAAATATTAGGAGTTAATTAATATTAGTTAACCTAATTTTTTGGTTTTTAGTGGAGAGACTTTTGGTTTTGTGATTTTTCCAGGTGGGGGGAGAAATAAATGGTGCTTAATTTTATTTCGTTTTGGTCTTATTTGTCACCAACTGCAGCACTACACGTGGCTTTTGAAGAGGTTGGCCTAACTTGGGATTTGAATGAAGTATTGAAGACGACTTTCACTGTCGTTTTCTTCAGTCCCTTTCAAATTCCTAACTTTGTCCAAATTTTACCATTTGCCCCCCAAAAAATACCAACTTAATTAACTGCTCTCTGTCTGTACATAATTACTTTTACACACCGATCCAAAAATTAAAAGTGGTAACTTGTGTTAGTAATATATGGATCCTTTCATTGAATTCTAGATCGTACCATAATGGCCAAGTAGATGCCCAAATGGAAAAAAATGGAGTTAATGAAGTTTGAGCAGTTGAAAAAAAGAGTTGGGGTTGTTTAACTAAACACGAGGTAGAGTTAGGGATGAGAATGAGACGTGTTTGGGGTAGGTTATTCTAAACCATTATGATTATAATTTTTAAATATCTAAATTTATATCGTCTCCTTTCCTCATGTAGGGGTCGGTTTTGACAACCCTGCTCATCCTCATACACATGATTTTCAGGTACCCATGAAAAATATTCGTCCCGTACATTTATCGTATCGAGAAGCAGGAGGATAGGTAGGATACAAGTTGAATTTGTTTTGAAAGAGAAAAAAAATTTAATTAGTAATATAATTTAATTTGTATGAAACTGAATTTGTACACCAATGTTACAGATACAAATTCAGTTTGTATCATGAAGAAATTTGTACAAAAATTACAGGTAGAAACTGAATTCGTGACAAAATATTAATATTAAATGTACAAAATAAGTTTGTGTCGTAACAAGAATTGAGTATAGCAATGAAGCTCAAAGCCATGAATTAATCCAATTGTTCTTATAATCGAGGAACCCCCTCTCGATCGATACATAACGCTGATATTCACAATCAGAAACGTTTAAAGCCATAATGTGCCAAACCGATAAGCCGCGCACGAGATCGAGAGATTACATTCCATCTAAGTAATTAGATAGTATAAAGATTTGATTGATCTGATCCGATCCGATCCGATCCATACATGAATGCATGATATCATCATAACCCTAGATATCAATTGTGATAAACCCCAACAAGATGTAGCCATCATGATCTCTAGCTAACCCATATTCATGAAAGTGAAAAGAAAAGAAATGTGTTGATTACACGAAAGAGTGACAAACACATGCAACTCCTATATATATATATATATTATATTGTAATCTCCATCTTCATCTCCTTCTCCATCCATTGTTATCTTCTATTCTATCACGGTCGTTTCGTGACTCTTAGTCTTGTACATATATAACATGCAAATGATGATAATTAGCCCATGCCCAAGCGTACTTTAGACTGCAAACTCCAACCTCCTTTTTTCGTTCGTCTTTCTTCCCTTTGAGTGAAACTACACCATCTCCATGCAGAAACTTGATAAAGACGGTTACAAAGAATTAGAAACAAGTTGAGTGGTCAACTGAAAGCCGTAACGATTCGATGCCGATAATAGGAAGCAATGGCGTGGACGCTTGTGACTAAGGGAAAGTGGGTTTTTGTTTTGTTTAATTATTTGGTTTAGTTGTATTTATGGGTGGGTTTTTGATCGAGTATTTCACGAGATTGAAAGCAAAAAAGATGGTGTTTTTAGAGTTTAAAACGTATTGAACTATACTTTGTTACACGTAATTTGTTTTAAAGTTACCCAGGTTTGGTATGTATCCTATAATTTATTGTCCACATTGCAACCAAGATTTTTATGGTATTATGTTTCTGCACACTCCCCGGCGGAAATCGTGTCGCCTGATACTGCTCTCACACTGTTCGGCTTTGATCCATGATCTGGGCATCTCATTTTTGTGTTCGGTAAGTTGTAGGCTAGTATTGGATCATTTCGGTATGGAATGATTGATGCTACGAATTGGTGTCTAACTCGGACATTTTTTTCTCTATTAATTTTTATAGTGACTCCCATTTTGGTGGTTGGGCGAGTCTTGGCGGGCGAGACGAGGCATGCTTTGGATGTTGGTATTCCGGAGGATGTTCGCCAGCTAGCTCGAACTTCGCCTTTTGTTTGTGTTCATATGCCTTAAGCGCTTCAATAGAGTTGCTCATCTTGTAGCTTAACAAAAAATTTCATTGGAAGTTCGTACATAATTGTGTTCTATACTCACTATTTTAATGTTGTGTACTACTTGTCTATGTTTTAAATTTTTTTTGTCAACGTGCCCATTGTTAAGAGCTGAATAATGGGAAACTGTCCATAATGCGGAACAAGTTACGCACCAAGAACTCTTTAGGAAGACAATGCCTATGTTTGACAAGGCTTTTAGAAGTGTTTTTCGGCTTTAAAAACTGAAGTAAGGTCACACACCTCTAAAAGTTCGGCTTTTGAAAAGCCAAAAAACGCTTTTGTGCGTAAAGCTGTTTTGAAAATACAAGATTATCCTTACCATATTTTAATTTTATTTCATAAAATATAATATTCTTTCATTTATATCATTTTAAAAATAAAATAAAGTATAAAATCATATTATTTAACATAAAAGAATTCTAACAATATCCATTTTGACTACATTTTATTATTTAGATTTATTATTCATAGTTTATATTATAAGTCATTTATAATCATTTTACACAACCTCTTAAATTATAAAGCATTTTTAATAAATTTTCAACCAAACACTCAATTATTTTTTTTTAAGTACTTTTTGAAAAGTTCAAGCTAGAAGCTACTTCTGTAAAAATTACAACATGACCAAACTGGGCTAATAGGTTCTTTCAACAACTTATACACGTTGATCATAATCAATTGATATAAATTAATTCAGGGTAAAACTATATATTTTGAAAAATGAAAATGCTGAGAAACATGCAAATAAAATAATATAAATTGTTATTAATATCCCCCTGACATCGGTCAACTAGAACATAAATTAATGAATTAGTTAAATTATTTGGTTTACCTGTTCCAAAAAACCAATTTATAAAATATTAAACCCCATCAACCGGGAATTGGTTAATGCGGGACACATGGCGGCCTCGAGGGCTACAAAATGTGTGGTGGTTGATCCCACTTAAATTTCCAATTCTAGACAATTAATTTCTTCTTATTAATTTAATTAACTGATTAAATTAAGTGAATAGATAATTATTGTTGCTGTTTCTTTCCTGGTTGCAGGTATCCGGTGGCTGCCGGGGAAGGCTGCGACTGTTCTCCCAACAGAAGTTAATTTTACTAAATTACCCTAAATTTACCTTTCTAAGTGCTTACATTATTTCGTTGAGTAGTTAAGGTATCGGATTTTGTAGTGGGGAAGTCAGAAATCCGAATGAGAGGTGTTGATTTGAATTTGTCGTAATTGGTGGAAGAGAGCTAAAGT